CGTATTAAATGTGCAATCGGAACGTGACTTAGTCTTGGCCAACAATCACCAAAAAAAAGGAGAAAAAAACCAGGTAAGCCCAACACCGAAAGCCACTCAAATTAAAGGTAACAACGAGAACATGAGACAACTTTTTTTGTACATGTCTTGGCCAAAATGCAGTCAAGTGAAGTGCAATTGCCAAGAAGTCGAGGCAACTGCCACTGCTAACTGCAATTTTGAGGTTGACGACCAAATTGAGAAACTAAATTGGAGCTAGAAGTTAGGGACTTTAAGAAATATATAATATCTATGTTTAATATGACTGAGTAACTTGGTTGAGTAGCTTGTCCACTACAAACTCCATTCAACAAAAACAAGAAAAAGTATTCACCCCGCTCTGCATTTGCCTTTGAGAATTCATTTGTTTTGCTTGCCTTCAAATTGCCTCTGTTGTGGCAGCCGCTGTCCTTCAGTTGCAACTACGCCCTGGCCAAAAAAAAAACACCAAAAAACTAATAAATAAAAGCCGAAGCAAAAAATACCCTTAGTTTGGATATAGATATTAAAATGTTAAAAAATATTAACCAACTAAATAGTGATAGAATTAACTTTGATAAATAAATTATTAAAAGAATGTTTATATCAATTTCTCTACTTATAAAAGTACCTGTTTAAAATGAAAAACCAAAGTACTCTTTTATAAAAAATACCTTTTATGCCTCGAAGGTTAAGTAGCAAAGAGCCAACAAAAATGCGAGGTGCAAAAAGTGAAAAAAGACACTGACTTCATTGCTGTCGACGGCAGCCAAGCATGAGGCTTAAAAAAGTAATTTAAAATTATTATTTTTACTTTATTCCAGCCGCCAAAGCCTTTAGGCCGGATGCTGAGATTAAGTTTAAGGTTTTCCGCGATTGTGGCACAGTTTGTTGGCACATCGTTTCGATCGGGATAAACGTCAAGATTAAACGATTAGAATTAAAAGTTTGAAAAGAGTGTATCGAGTTGCATTCAAAACTCCAATATAGTTACCTGAGACAAGCCAAACTGGTTTACCAATTTCTGTGTCTCCCAACCCCCCTTTTATTGAGATATCACCCAAAATTGCATGAGAAACTGGAAAAATCTGAAAATTGTTTGACGAACAGTTGGCATTTTGTATAAGCTAATGTTCTCAAATTAGTTTCAAAGTTGTTGACCTTCAATGCAATAAATAAACATTTTTTATGCAAACTTTTCTTGAAGCCAAAGAAACTGCAGAAAATGTCGTTGCCAAATGTCGTTGCCAAGCTAACCATGATTTTCAAAAACTTCACAACAATGGATTTTTTTGAGCCTCCATTCAATTGATCTTGTTAACTGATTGATGTCTTCTATTATTGTGTGGTCTAGTTCTGGCTTAAGAAAATTGTTAGGTCTATTGTTAATAGCCATCCACTATTTTGACCTTAAAATGTAAGCCTTGGAAACTTATTTCTGCTTTAAAATAAAAATTAAATACAAGAGTGAAAGGTAACATCATATTTAAGCCTACACATAACTGACGTTCGAGTAATTTAATCAACATTCACCAATTAAAGACGTTTAATACCACAAGCTTAATGAATCCTTAGATTAGGTTTCAATTAAATTAAGTTGAGGCAATAAATACGCGCAAATGCCAAACGATTGCACTCACACTCTATTGCGAAAACGGAAACGGAAGCCGTAGCAACAGGAGGCCTTAATGGTGTTGGTGTTGGAATAAACATGTATCTTAATTTTTTTTCATTTTATTTTCCAGCCAAATAAGAGGTCGGAGGTCATCCGCAACCATAACCAACACCTCAGGAAAGTGGCAGGAGCTGAAGTGAAAGACACCGCCCGCGGCTTCCATTTACCGCCTTTATAATTTATGCTAAACGCGTCGCGTCTTTGCATTTAATTGTGAAATTAAATTTGATGCGATTAATGTTGACACAACATGCGATTAGTCCAAGCGAACTACCTTGTGGAAATAAGTAGATCACTCCATCTGTTATAGATCTAGAGAATATAGATCTATAGGAGCAAAATAATAAGTCATATTAAGAATGAAAGTAATACATAGTCTGTTAATGTCAGAAAAATATTGCATCCATTTTTTCAGGTGTACCTTATCCGTTGACATCTTGTGGTATAACCCTGTAGTCTTGACTGGGATCGCCTTCATTTTGGCCATAAGATAGAGATACAGCCGGCTATCTATAAGCCCAATCGGCTCGCATTTGGCAAATTATCATTGTTTGCGATATGACAATGTGCGATGGCAGCGACAGGGACAAGCCTTACATAAACAATAATTAAATGTAGCCAAATTAAATTTTACACAAAAGCCGAACACAAAGTGACAGCTGGGCGGGTCCTTTTGGCTTTTGCATTCCCATCAAGCCCCATACCCTCCACTATTTGGAAATTTCTGCATAATTATGTGGTGCAAGTGGATGGGAGGTCCTGCCTCAGTTGAGTGGTTATATGCATGTATATGTGTTGGCTGATAATATGCAGTTTAATTACAGGACACCAATGCCCACACAAACAACAATAATGAGACACCACTTATGTAGCACAAGAATCGATGGATAAATACTCTAGATATTTTCATCAAATCAGTGGTAATCACTGACTAATTTAATGATGTTTTAAAACAAAGGATCAAAATAATCAGACACATTTCTTTTATTTAGTATAAGTTTTTAAAAAATGTTAAGAGATATACTGTTGATATATTATCAAATATTTAAACAAGAGTAGTGTTTATAGATTTTTTAAAATATACATTTAGAACTCGCACAAAACCCAAGACTTTAGAAAGGGAACCTGAATCGATGGCTACCATTTTGCTACATAAATTCAAATTAGTTTGAACTGCCCTATCCTATCGCCTTGAATTCCACCCCGAGAAGCCATTTACCACCCATCTCCATTCAATATCCCACATCCGCTTGTGGCCACGCATCACTTTTAATTTTCCATCTGAGACAATGTTCTTGGTCCTGTCAGGTGCATAACCATATTATATCCTGACAGTGTTCGTGTGTGGGTCTCTTTCGCAGTTTATTGGCATCCATTAGATAAAGGAATTTACGCGAATACAATTGTGGGCCTCGACTTCAAAGGGCTATTGTCGTACATTGTTGGGTTAGTTCTAATTAGTGGCATATTAGGAAGGAATAGGTCCCGAAACCTAGTAGCTTAATCTTTTCCCAAATCCACAAATCAATTAAAGGCTTTTCTTTAAAGAGTGGCACAAAAAAATAGGTTCCATTTCTGTTTAATTAACAACTTACGGACATAAACTGAATGCAAAAAGTTCACGTTCAATTGAAAGCCGAGTTGACAAAATAAATTTTAATAAAACTCATATTTACGTCATTCATTTGTCCTTTTATTTAAATAAACATTCCTGCAGTGCGAGAACATAATGGAACATAATACAGACACATATGAACTGTTAATTATTTTTTTGTGAATTGTTGACCAGCAAATATTATTTTCAGTTGCATTCGCTTTAATTACAGTATCTTTTGGTCCTTTATTCGATTTTTTTTGCTGTTGACAGCTAACTTTTTCCGTGTTAATTAGTGTAAATATGGTAGGTGAGGTCGTTTGTTAAGCTTCCCTATATTTAAACTGAATATGAATTAAATGACAGTTGGTCGAGAGGAAGACCAACAACACACCAGTAAATTAATTGACAATTGAAATAGAGAAATGACTGAATGGCAAATGTTTATTTTATACTTAATAAAATAAAACAAAAAATATTCTATTATTGGATAGGCAAAATTATTTAACCATGAATTCAAATTGTTTATGCAAGTGTCCTAAGTGACTTGGCGATAATTAATTATAAACTATTGTTTACTTTGTCAATTTTTTTCTCTAAAGCTGTAGACCAATAAATGTATTATTTGGTATTTATCTTATACATTTTCGCACTATAAATTAGGTAATTGAAATCACAATATCTGTCCTCGTATGACCGCCAAACTCTGGGTGGTTTCGCCCCACCCCAAAGACCGTTTGGTTTTACGAGCCTTATGAAATTGGTATGCAATCGACAAAATCGTAATCGACATTATAATTTATCAAATAAAACAAAAAAGTGTACGAGAGGCTGAAAGCATCATCGAAACTGAAGTGTATTTACAAATATGAACAGGACGGGTTTTTTGAGGGTTTTAGTTGAAACGAAGTTTGTCGAAAAAGATCCCCGAAGTTCAAGTTCAATTTTTCAGCATGACTAAAAATAATTAGTTTCGGTAAGAAATACTGAACATTAAAAACTATCTATAAATATTTGTTAAAAACCGGAAAAAACGGTTGTGCCTGAAAGTTCTAATAACCAGGCTTATCCATTATCCATTAATAGTATCCATTTTTTGTATCTTAAACCATTTAGATAATTTAGATTTAATACATTTAATACCATCCTAGAGTATTTTACCATCGACTTGATTGGTTTTGAGTTCTGGATTCTAATGTTTTGTTTACATCTTCGAAGACTTTCTGAGTACTTAAGCGTCTGTGGGCACGCAAAAAGAGTCACTTTAATTTCGCAGCCGCATCGATTTGAATTCGCTTATATTATACATATATGGGTTTACGAAATTCTTATAAATTTATATTGCCAGTGTTAATATCGCTGTCGACCCGGCAGTTGCTCTTAATCGGTGCATGGCAAAACTCACATCGTCTAGTTCCTAAAGTTATTGCACTCGGATTCTAAAAAATAATTCTGGTTACTTGATTATGAAACTATTTTTCTTAAAATATATAATATAGGAAGACCTTCTTTAAAGGCAGACAAAAATAAATAATGATCTTAACTTATGTCTAAAAACTAAGATTTTTTTCAAGTGTGTATTCCGGTTTATGGCCAACTTTTGTGACACTATAGGGCCCCGTGGTGACCCCGACCCTATGTGTCAGACTAATCGCGAGTTTTAAAACGAATCTGTTTAAAACGCATTGTGCGACATCGTGACGAGACAGTTGCAATCTAGAATCCCCCGTAAAATGTTCTGGCTCGGTTTCGGTCTTCTGTTTATTGCCCTGCTCCTGTACCTGCTCTATGCCTTTGAGTATCAGACCAGGATCGATCGGCTAACCCACAACTGGCCGGCACCACCTTCATTGCCCATCATCGGGCACCTACACATCCTGTGGGGCCTAGCGGGCCCGAATCCTATTCGCCGGGCCACCGAATTGACAACCACCCACATGAAGGATCATCGTCTCAAACTTTGGATGGGCACCAAGCTGTATCTGTTGGATTGCAATCCGAAGGACATTCAGGCCTTGGGCAGTGCGCAGCAACTTTTGCAAAAGCCCGCCGACTACAGTGTGTTTGAGAACTGGCTGGGCGAGGGAATCTTTACCAGTGGTTTCGAGAAATGGTCCCATCGTCGGAAAATAGTAATGCCGGCTTTTAACTATGCCATGATAAATCAGTTTGTGAAAGTTTTTGAAAAGCAGTCACGGATTCTAGTGGACAGATTGGGCGATTTCTCCATTTCTGGGGAACCTGTGGATTATTTCTATGTGATTTCCTGCTTTACTTTGGACACGATATGCGCAACAGCTTTGGGGGTTTCAGCTAATGCCCAGTTGAATGAGAAATCAGATTTTCTCAATGCGGTTAAAAAGTGAGTTAAATAAATGTACGTAATTATTAATTTTTGCACTAATTGAAGTGCTTTTAAATCCCTTTAGAATCCTTATCATCATCGACATAAAGCTGAAGAATATTTTCTATCGCAATGGCCAAATATTTAAGTTTACTAGACACTTTCAAAGAGAAAAGGAACTCTTGAAAACTCTACATGGCTTTACGGAAGAAATCGTCCAAAGGCGCTTGGAAGAGCTGAGACAGGACGAGCAGAACCGAAATGTTACGTCTTTGGACGCCACTGACTTGGAGGATGATCGTCAAACAAAGTGTTATTTGGACACTCTCTTTCAAGCCACGGGTCCGGATGGTCAACCATTGTCAACAAAGGACATTCGCGAGGAGGTGGACACCATTATCTTTGGAGGCTTTGATCTCACGGCCAACGCTCTTAATTTCTTCATGTACAACATGACCATGCATCCGGAGTTCCAGGCGCGTTGCCGGGAAGAGGTGTGGGCGGTGTGTGGGCGAGACACCAGTGAACCTATTACGCTAGACCAAGTACGCAAACTGGATTTCGTAGAGGCTTGCATAAAGGAGTCACTGAGGATGTATCCTCCGGGTCCACTGGTAGTTAGAAAAGCCACTGCCAATTGTCAGATTAGTAAGTATTAAAATTAAATAACAAAGCTTCTTTTTATGTAAAACATATTTATGACTTTTTCAGATGATTTTTTTATACCTAAGGGCGCCAATGTACTGATCTCGTCCCTTTACATGGGACGTTGTAAGGAATTCTTTCCGGATCCCATGACTTTCAAGCCGGATCGGTGGGCTAGTGGAGCTGAGCCAAAAATCGATGCCTCCACGTTCATACCCTTTATGAAGGGAGCGCGGAGTTGTATGGGCCAGCGATACGTCATGGTGATGATGAAGTTGGCTATGGCGCACCTCCTGAGAAACTACCTGTTTGAGCCTCTGGGGGAGCGACAGGAGAAACTGAAGTGCAGCTTCACCATCATGCTGCAAACCGTGGAACCCTATCGCTGCCGAGTTAGAAAAATCGAATGAGACTTGCTGGAAAATCTTTATTTAGCTTGAAGTAGCATTAGCCGCCTAGTGTGCATATAAACTTATGATAAATACTTGAAATATAATAGAAAAGGAATAATTTAATACCAAATATTAGTTATGGAATAAGTCCTATTTAAATTGGTTTCTTGCTTTTGAGACGCATAATGTTTGCTTTTTTAATGACAAAAATATATAAAGAATTCTTTACAAATTGGAATATTCTGAAGCTTCATTTTTATGCGATTTCAACGAAGCGCGTTCGTCTAGAAAATAATTTCTGGCTGGTTTTGATTTTTATTGTGGCAGCCGAGCGGCGGAAAATCAACAAACATTTCCTGGCGCTGTAATAAATAAAAATGCATAAAGCAACAGCCACCAAACCGTCGCCAGCCATCCAGTCAGTCATTTCGTCTACCCTTATCCTGGAATGGAATACACACTCCCATATCCTTATATCCTTGCCATCGGATTCCGGTGCAAATTATGAGCGTTGCCTGCTTATTATGGCACCCGTCACAGGGTGTGGGGGGGAAATGAAGGAACGCCATATATAAAATGCAATTTATTTAAATAAAAATCAAGTTTAATTCGCAGTGTCGTAAATTTTTTCTTTTATTTATTTTTTTTACACTCTTTTTTTACTCGTCCCGGGCATTGAATTTCACGCTTTTGTTAACAAGCGCATAAAAGTTTGTTCTATCTGCCAACTGATATGGTTCTGCTATTGAAAATCCCACGTCCAGGGGTAATGGAAAGGAGTTCCAAGATTGTTGAACTCTGTGGCTGATTGGTGGGTGAATTTTGGGGTGGGTTCCGGTTATATTGATAGACATAGATACGAAGAAAAGTGCTGCAGCCAATTTTATAAATATTTTGAATAAATGGTGTGCAGAATGAATATACGTAATTTCTATACGATATTCTAGAGGCATTAACCTTTTTAAATATATTATTTAAATAATAAAAATAATGTTTCCAGCTGGATAATTTTTAAATGTTTAAGAATTTATTACCTAAAACGTAAATTGTTTAAATAATCTAATTAACCGATATAATTTTTCCGCATCAGACCGGTAGGTTTTTTGACCTTGTTACTTAACAAACTAAAATGTTTCTTATAAATTGGTTACAAAGTTGTAAAAAAGGGTATGCATTGTATCATAAAATATTTTTGAGAATGTTTTTTAATGTCCAGTAGGGCTTTTATGGTCAAAAACCCTTTGCTGCAAAGCTCCATCTGGAAATTAAAATATGCGCCTTAGAAACATGTTTTCCTCAAATTTTTAAGTGCTTGGCCAAAGTTTTACGATCATTTTATTGGATTTGGTATCGCGGGGAAGGCTTTAACCCTTCTTCTGTTGGCACCCGCCGCCATAACTTAATTATCCATATGAATCCTTCGAGACTTTTATGGCGCCCTAACCCCGCGGCTTTAATTATGATGAGTACTCTCCGCTACTCCTTTTAAGTGTCAGCTGTCATATTTTTATTTATCTAAATTTAGAGATCTTCACGGTGGGATGCTGTCGTTGGTCATTAAAACGATATAAATCCAGTTCCATATCGTAATCCCAGGGTCCAGAACTTGACGCAATGTTTTATTGCCGCTGACTGGGCGCAGTTTTCATTTACACAGCTTTTATATCCAGCATCTGTACATCAGGCATAAGTTTATGATGCAGCATAACTCCTGGGGCCAGGACTCTTAATTACAATGGAGATTTTAGGTCTGCCTTTGTTGGGGTTACAAATTATAGAATGGTAATGGTATAGTGTCTATAAGCATCCCGTAACCATCTATCTTCTTCCCAATTATTTACATTTTGGTGCATATTTTGCCATAATATTTTTAGGGTTTTACTTTAAGCCTGGAACTCATTCCTCAAGTAATGTTACACCCCAATGCGGTTATCCTCACCGCATTCCGGTCAATTCACATTTCTCATTGTTTCGAGTTAAGTAAACCCAAACGGCCCCACCTCTTCGAGGATATGCGAAAACAAATGCAACCAGCCTCGCAGTTGTGGTTGTGTGTGAGGGGTTTTCGGGATGGATGGTATAGCCAGAGTGGGTGGGCTCTGAGGTTCTGAGGTGAAGGCGACTTTGAAGTAAACGGCGCCGGTGACATTGCCCTACGGCTAAGCCTCATTTGCGGTTAAATTGTGTCGCCGGACGGCAGCTGAAAGTCGATTATGTCAATATTGTCCCATTGCGACGGCCCCACGGCTAATGGCTAATGGATGGTGCCCATTTGCTTCTGGATCGGATCAGATTTTGGAGGTATGAGGACATATATTTGCGATAAGCTGCGGCAGACTTGTGTAAGTTTGCGGCCGGTCGTCATATGCTAATTAGTGTGGCATACTTTAAGGGTTCCCTCGAATGCATTAAATCGGAAACTTAACGATCCACCGCCCATATGCGAACAATCCGGCAATAAAACCACTTTCGAATACATTTAAGAATCGTATTACAAACGACTCGCAAAAAAAGGGGAAGCAAATAAAAGGAGTAGCTGCTCTACACATTAAAAACGCATAAAATCGACAAAAATAAAAACAGTATAAGTAGGAAAACAGGACGAACTGGCAGCAAATAAAGTGGCCATAAACATAAAAATCTTGTCAGGATACGGGATATAGGATTTTCCACACAAAACCAATTGAAGCAATCAATTAAAATTGATCAACGAAATTGAATCACGTGTTACAATATTCCGTATTGAGTTACATAGACCATGTGTGGGTGTAATAAACTCACCATAAAATCGAATCGATTGAACTACCTCAGAGATTTTGTCTGAGATTTCAAAGAAATTATATTAAAGTCCTAAAGAACCTTTTTTGACATTTTCTCGTCAAACCAATCACTCGTTTAAATTAAAGGTAAAAAATGTAAATTACAACTTACCTTTTCGCAATGTCACTTGCAATTCCGGAAGGGTTGCGAACTCAAAATGCTAAATAGAAACAGCACAGTTTTGCTAATGTAATTAACCAGTCTGCAAGTAAAATGCACAAAGCAGGAAATTAGTAACAAAATAGAGTAAAGCCAAAAAAAATATACAAGAAAATGGTAATATCCAGCAGGAAAGGGGTAAGAAAATTACAAACTCTTTCTACGGAATGTCAACTTAAACTTTTTATGCACAACAGAGATGCAAGCAAAAAAAATTAAATTGTTCAAAGAAAGAGCAGATGTCCTGTCCAGGAGGTGGCTAATTATACTGCACAGCAAACAAAGAAACGAATCTGGAAAAAATATTCGGTGGGTGGGAAAAATTAAATGCAGTCCTTAGGGGACGAAATTTGTTTTGGTAAAGACATTTAGCAGAAGCCAAACAGAGGAATTCCGGGCACGTAAAAGTCACAAAAAAAGAAGCAATACAGAATTAATTAAAACAAAAATTGCTTAAGGAAATTGTATTTTATCTATATTATTGCGGATCGGGGAAATGTGGGAAACTGCGTTGCTTGTCAGCAGCACATGATGCAGAAGCGAAAACAACCACAGGACAATAACTGAAAACAGAAAGCAGGACTCAAACGGGGCACACAGGTTCGGTGTATTCACAAAAGTTTTGTGTGTTTTGCATAAAGTTTGGTTGGACTCGAAACCAAACATTTATACATGCCAGCCACTTGAATGTAACAGGCCAAAGTTCAAAGCTCAAACTTTTGCCCGCACTTCAAACTCTGAAGTAGCAACATTGTTGTGACCCCTATCGGAGTATCATGTGTGCATTGAGTGTGGTCAGGATGGTTTAGTTCAGACAAGCGAAAAGTTTGGCTTACACAAAGCCAAAAGTATCAGTTCTGCCACCTTGGGAGAAAAGGGGAAGTACTTGTCCTGGCTTTAAAAATAGATATTAGACAAATCAAATTGAACAAAGTAAACAGCTCATTACATCTAAACTTATCCCTTCGCGTTTTAAAAAAGGGTCTCCTTCAAAAATCTAGTTCCTTTCACTTTAACCACTTCGGTGGCTATATCTTTGGACATAATAAACCGATTCTTCACCCGAACTGCATCAAAATATAATACATTTTTTAGAATAAGCATAATTTTTTTTTAGATATTTTGTAAAGTTTTTTTTAAGGGTCTTAAAGTTAATATTGCTTTTCAAATTTTTGCCAATGAGTACCGCTATAAAATTGTGGTCTACTTTTTATGGCCTTATACATATATGCTAACATGTATCCGATCAGGAAATAAAGAACCATTTTGTAATCAGCACACCCAGACGCGACTTTCCTTATTAAAAATTTTGTTTAAATCATTTTTTCCATAACTTTTTAGATTACTTAAAAAAATATTTGTCAAACTTTCCCAAGGGTCTTCTTAAAAAATCGAAATAAATACATGGAGCCTGGGTATCGGTGAAGGCCATATCTTTGTAAATAATCATCTGGTTCCTGAGCGGAATTTCTCAATCGATTCATACATGAATTTTCCAAAAATGGCATCAAACCCTACCAACACAATATTTTATATATTTTATATATGGCCTCCAGCATAGGCTTATAAATGGTATTAATTATTAATAGCATTTAAAACGTTAAAACATACAATTTTATCAAAGGCTTCAATCAGTCTAACAGACTGAAAATAATTTGGATGAATTAGACAACTACGTTTGTAACCCTTAAATAACCGCAAAGTGTTTCGATTTTTAAGCCTATTAAACCAATCATGGAACTGAGAATATACATCCTAGATGGTGGATACTGTTAAAAAAAAAGAAAAGAGTTACCATTTTAATTACTCTCAAAGAACAGTAGAAAATTGGATAGAAAAGCCATTAGGAGAAAAATTGCAAAAGAATAAAAGGTGGCTGCATTTAACTCCCCCATGTCAGTGCAAATAAAGATACAAATATAAATGCCAGACTCTGTCAGTCAGATTTCAAGCTCAACTAATGAGTGACCATGCATAAACAAAAATGAGGGGGAAAATATAAATTTCGACTTAAGTCCATTGCCATGGACGAGCACCTTGCCCTGGGAGATGCTTCTTGAATGTCTCAAGTCAAGCGGCTCCCTCGGCCAACACTTATTTTAATGAGAAATTCTAATTTCACCAATAACACAAAAGACGGCCGGCAAAAATGCGAGCAGGAAACACACAAAAAAAAAGTAAATAGAGAAATGTGGCAGGAGATATTTTTGCTTTTCCTGGCAAGGAACTGCTGTGATTGCTTTTCGTCGTTTTGTCCGTGACGAAAACAAAAGAGGCCAAGGAGCTGTCTTTTCCCCTATCGAAATGCGAAAAAGCTCGGAATAGAAATGGGAATGGGTGGAGGAAAAAAGTAGGAATTGCCTGCATAAAAATATCTTGAGTATTTGCTAGTCTGCAATTAAATGAGGGCTTCACATCTCCTTTTTTTCTTGTCCCTTGCCAGTGCAGGAGGCGCTCGACTGAGCTTAGCAATAATAATTACAGTTTTGGATGGGTTTTTGGGGGGGTTATTGTTGAAGTGTTGCCAGGGCAAAGTTCTTTCCATTTTATGGGGGGTTTCGTTGTTCAAGATGAATTGCAGTCCCTCAAACTTTTTATTTATTGGTTCCATTTTAAAGAACTTAAATATTTATGACTTCTAATAAAGCTCTTCTTTAAAAGCACCTTAAGTAAGACCCCTTCTATCCTTAAAATATATTTAATCTTAATAAATATATATATATAAATAATATAATATCTAAAAATTTAACTAATCAACCAAACACGAAGGAAAACAACAGACATCTCCCAAGGGTGGACTGTAATGAAGGAGGCATATCAAATGATGCAAGAACCCCAACCACATGTCCCAACCTTCCTATATGTGGTATGTGCCACAATAATCAAGCAGGACTAAGGCAAGTCGAATTACAGTTACAGCTACAGTTACGGTTAAGGTAACGGTAACGCATGGCAATGTCCATAAAATGACACTGAGTGTCAGTTTCAATTAAACATGTTGACAGCTGTAAGGACAAGTCCTGAATTTTGGGGGGCCAGTCAGAATATGTGTACTCCCCCTCCGACTGTTGGACATAATGGGCCATGTCTGGGCAGGATTCTCATACCCCATACCGAGGGCAATTTCGATTTTAATACAAGAAATTCCTGGCATTGTCGTCAGCCCATAAAGAAGTCGAGTAGAATAAGTTGAAGGAACCGAATTCATATGACAACTTTATCGGCACAAGAGAGGGATATTTGCCGAGATTTTCTGCCCATTTTTGTCCATTGACATCTTAAGCTTGTATGACACTCTAAATAAATTTTATTCTTACCTATAATACAGTGTCATAGCATCATTGTTCATCTTTGGAATTTGCATGCAAAGTGAAAACTTTGATTTTTGACAGGGTCATAAGGAACTCTCATTGCAATTTTAAGTAATTTTATGTGTATTTGTTTAAATTTACATTCGAAATGAACAAGACGATTTTCTTGGACAATTTTCTGCCCTGGCCATTCAATTCCGATGCATTGACAACTTTTCAAACATTCTAATATCCTGTTTGAGTATTGACTATGTGTACTTGTGTAAGTACACACATCCTGATGTGTGCTTCTTGCAGGAATTTTGTTTAATTAAACTGACTAGCCAGGCATATAATTTCGCAAATCAATAAATGAAGGTGCAATAAATTGGAAATCATTTTTTGATTTATTTCTTTAAGCCTTTTGCGGCAAAACCTCAAAAGCAAATCATTTAAGTCATTCGCCCCACCCTCTTTATAAATTTATTTTTTTCAAAGTCTAGAGGGTGGAAAAGTGAAACCACTTAATGTCATTTTGACGCCAACGAGCCGATGATGTTTGCCAGTATTTGCCCAAAATATTAGCGTAATGCCTTTGACAATTCAATCGGCAAACGATTGGAGTTAGGAGACATAAGGCCAAGTGCCATTCGTCGGTCTCTCAATGGGCGTTGGTCACACCTCGTGCCAAAATTATTTGCCCAGTTTCTGCAGATTTCTGAATCGCGACGAAAGGACCTATTGACGGTACGGATCAAAAGCCACCGAAGCTGTGAGAAAGAGGTCTTGAAAATCATTCAGATTGGATTGACTTTATTTGGGTACTTTAAAGGACCTGCAGATTTTACTCGAACCTTTACTCGTACATGCATATATTGCCAGCCAAAAACCAATTTAAATAAATTAAACAAACAATTTTGTGCCTCATATTTTTGAATTTGCGTAAAACCACACTGTTATCCTTCTACAGTAACCCCTTTTCGTCCTTTGTCAGTCAGACGCAGGTGTTACCATTTGGGGACAAGTGTTTTTGGCAGCTAAGCAGGCCGGTTTTTTATCGAATAAAATCGGTGAAGCGATTTATGTATCAAAATTCAATGAGTTATCTGAAAACAAAGCAGCCAGTCATTATAAAATCACCAACCAAGCGTAACAAACCTCTACCTTTACTTCAAAGTAGATCATAAAGAAATTCAGTAAAAAAAAATATATTTTTAAAAGAGAAAAAATATGGAATTGGAAGCCGTTTCAAATCCTGTTTCGCAGGATCAGCTGAAGATAGAAGAGAAGATCGCCAACATTAAATCCGGCCTTCGCAAGGAGCTGATTAACTTGGTGATGTGGCGCGACTGGCGTAAGACGTTGGTTGCTCTTATGATACTGCAAGCTATCATCTTTGATCTCACCTACAAGTCAGTAATCAGTGTGTTGAGCATTCCGGCTTTCACTACCCTCGTCGTAATGATTGGGTACCGGGTCTATGTCCAGATCCGCCAGTGGATGGCCAACTCGCCAAAAACGGCGAATCCCTACCAGAGCTACCTAGATATGGACATCTTCATATCCGAGGAGGTGGCCCAACAGATTGCTCTTCTGCTGGCCACCGAGGCTAACAGCTTCCATAAGAAGCTGATATCTCTGATGGTGGGGGAAAAGCCTTTGGAATCGGCCAAGTGGGTTGGCATCCTGGCTACGGCGGCTTTTGTGGGTGAGATCTTTAATGCGACTACGGTTATGCAACTGGGTAAGTTGACACTCCCAAAGCTAATATTTAACAAATTTTAAAATTCAAATTATTATGCAGGGCTAATAGTTCTTTTCTCATTACCAAAACTTTATGAGTGGAAGCAACCAATCTCTGACTTCCACGCTCAGGCTTGTCAAAAACTCAAAAAGTGGGCTGATTCGTTTGACACCCAATTACAAACTAAAACCCATCCCAATGGAGATTCCGTAAAAGAACTTCAGAAAGTTCACAATGTAATTAAAAAAACAATTGTTTTAATTAAGGAAGCTAAAAAATCTCAACCCAATTGTAACACCGAAGAAGTGATGAAAATTGAAATTAGTGCTGAAGCTTTTGAGAAATTAGACGACTCCTGGAATCCAGACGACTATCCAGTGGTCGTAAAGAACGAATAAAATTGTACACATAGTTTTCCATCATTTCGATATATTGTAAACCCCTTTCACAAATTTACTATAATATTTGGAGTTACGTTAATGTTAACAAGATGGAGGAAAAAAACATATATGTATTACTGAATAAAGCTTTCCGAAAGGAATTTTTTCCTCCACAAATAGATCAGCAGTTTCCGCAATCAAACTTAATGATAGCTAATAAATAATTTAACTCGAACAATGGGAAAAAGAATTACATCTACTTAGTTGCAAGCCTAAAATCCTGCTACGCCGCAAAGAATTTACATATGAAAGAAAGTGTATCTGAAGGATTTAAACCCAAACAGCATCACCACCCCCATTTTCCGGTGAGGACACACATGATTAGATGGTTTTTTTGGGGTTGGCCAATGACTAATGATGCTTTCATTTATCTTTTCTTTATTTGTCCATGAAAGTGTTAATGTTTGGAGTCTCCTCTTAACTTTCCTCTGTGGATGCCATGTGTGCATAATTACTTGGATGGCTGGAAAAGCTTTTGTCATCATTTTAAAATTATTTAAATTAGACGGTGAAATGACTAACTGACTAATCTTAGACAGACACCACTGATAAATGAGCCAGTGATGAGTGGCATAGAAAAATTATAGCAATTTCTGAGTTTACATAGGACCTCCTCTAAAGGTTCCTTCGCAGATGTGAGCTGATAATTGCTAAGGATTTACATACTTAATTTTGCAATTTTCTTAGAAATGAATACCCGCTTTTCCAACCAAGTCTTAATGTTAACCACAAGCTTTAATTCCAGCCATTATATACTTAAATTACCCAAAAAGAATAATCCTTATCCTAGTAAATCCTTTAATGTGTCTAATTGATACTGTCACCCATTAAAACCAATAAAACAACGAAACCCTAGGAGGAATGATAAAAGGAAGGAGTCCGGAAAAGCCCAACAGAGATTTGCCAAACGAAAGATTTATGGTGTGCCAAGGAAAACATTTGTGTTTATATTTTAGTGTTAGTGGGATTCCACCATTCCCTTCCACAAAGAGGGATACACAATATGTATGTGGAGGTTGTGGCGGAGGATGTGCCGAAAGTTCATTAATTATGATTGGAGACAGTTGTACAATTAATAAACGCAGCCAAGCGACGACTGTGCCGGCTTGTGGTGGAGTTCCTTAAATTGGAACTTCAACGAGAAAAGGAGGAGAAAATTCCGGCCGGAAGCCAGGGTTTCGTTTTTGGCTTTTTCTCTCTATTTGTTTGGCTCAAGATTATGATCGGACTTTGATTTATGGTAGCATGTGCAAATTTATTGCTTTTAATGGCGAATCCCATTCGAAGTCTACACATCAGCAAAGCGCTGAGTAGTTGCTGGCTAATTGATAAAAGTTTCTTGAGTTATTCAGGAGTTTTTGTCCGGAAATGGATAGTCTCGTCGAAAATCCAACAATTTAGGGTTTTCTTAAAGAGGAAGTAATGCTATTTTTCGAGAAATAATATTCCTTAGGTCCTTTATTTTTTTTACGCATTCGATTTCGATTACAACTTCTCATTCCGAGACATAGGAAGTTTGAGGTAACATTCGCCTTCCACCGCCTGGAGGCATTAATTGCATTCTGCAGCATCGCATTGCACTTTCAATTAGTTGCAAATGCCTTGGCCGAAAGCCAAGCCAGAGTCTCGGCCTCAAAGCCCCCTGCCCCCCAGAAACAGGAAACGGAAGTTAAGTGCCGAGGCGAGGCGTTAGACAAATGCAACAACCCCCAGATGAAAGCAAAGGAAGCCAGTATCAACCATGACACTGGAGAAATTCACATTAATTGAAAGGTGACGACGCTCCAAAAGGGTCTGGAGAGCAGTCGGGGTTGGGGTCTTAGGGGTTGGACGGTTGCAACTTTTGGAAACTGACCAGCAACTCCAGGAAGTTGACCCCTGCAATTTGGAATTCCATTTGCTTGCAGCAAATTTTCTTACACTGCAGTGGAGAAAATCAACAATGTAACATTCCCTGCCCTCTGACACTTCATTCATATGGTTATTAAGTTTTCTCAGTGTATCTTTTGATGCACCAAAGTGCAAACAAAATCAGAGGAAAGGCAAGGTTACCTGTCCCTAATGCATTTCAAAATTGATTTATGAGTTTTCTTTCGAATTGCCGGCAGTTCCTCTGGCTGGGCCTTAGACAAATTTATATTTGCTTTTGGCCATCCATGTTTGTTTTCAATGTTAATTAAGGTTTACAATTACCCAAGGGGTTCTGAATGAAAATGGTACGAGGATATTGGAAGAGGCTTTGGTAATTGAGCGGCAGTTGAATCAATTGGATAGGAATAGTATTTTTCTTATATATTTCACAGATGTTTTGTTTTTAAATAATTACTTAATAGTAAACAAATATTTCTTAATTAAAGCTAATTCATTTTTATAACATAAAATAGCCCATCTTCAACATAAAATAAGAAATATCCTTCTCAACTTTCAAGACCTCCTCTCCACCTTTTTTGAGACCCAGCTTACAATGGGTTATGCTGACTGCTTCAGAACAAAAACAATAAATTGCTTTTTTAACACTCCGGAAAAGCACAAGGATATACATATACGAAGTAACATTGGCGTCAAATGCACTTTGGCTCCCATGCTCCTCCTGGTTGTTGCGCTCAGATCCTGGATTCTTCTTCGGGCTGCTCCTCGACTCGCTTCGTTTGGCTTGGCTTACGCTTGGCAGCTGACAACTTTCTAAGAATAACTGCAAAGCGATTTGCATATTTAGCTGCGTGTGGGAGGCGGTACGGGAGGTGAGAACTTTATCGCTTCCAATGCAGCCAAGCGAGGCCCATGCATCACACACTCACACATGCTGGCACGTAAATCTTAGCAAGAAACTTTGGCAGACATCTAAATGTATTTATAAACACAAGAAGTAGCACTTGAGTTGGCACCGAGGGTGGGCAGTGGGCAAGGTTGGGGTGATTGGCCATGGGGTTAATGAATCAATAATACTAAATGCACAATCGTGTTTGCAGATATTTTTTAGTAAAATCAACAAAGTTAACTAACAAAATATAACAAAATGTTTAATGTTTTTCCAGTATTCCTCTCTGTTCGAATTCCAACAGGCTGGTCTTGACCGTTTTACGTACTCGTTCCGAATTAAATAACTCTTTTCGTTTCGCCTCCATCTTCTCTGGATAACCCATTAAATTAAGTAAATTGAAATTGGCACTGGCTTCCGGTGAGGCACAACATATAGGAAGTTCACAGCACACAGCGTAGTATCCATAATGCAAACATCGTTCCATCTCGTATTTCAAATCACTGAAGGTCGGCAAGGCACCAACAAAGCCACAATAGTTGAGGGTCTTGATTAGGTGTTCAAAATAGTCACTTAAAATCTCATCTTGTTGATGGAGTAGAACGTCTATCCGCAGGCTGGTGTAGAAGAAAAAGTACAAGTCAACAGCCGGACTGCCCCAAAAACAATTTTGAAAATCAACCTAGAAATTAAAAAAATATTTAGAAAAAAGAATAAGAACCTATAGTTTAAGTTCTACTCACCAGTATTGCTTTTTCATCAGGCCTGTTGAACATCATATTATTAACCCACACATCACCATGTACAATCGCATTCAGTTTTGAATTTTTCGGATTGACAACGTCTTTCATTATTTGTTCATATGCCTCTGGTATTTGGGCTTTCATTTTCCTTGAAATTTCTGGCAGTTCATCAGCAAAATAATTGGCTGTGAACTCAGCACCGTCAAGGACGAGGGCCTTTGAAAAGTGGTCTGAAACCCCGTCAGCATAGTGGGAGGGCGCCAGTTTAGCCACAAACTCTGGTTGCTCTTGGCACAAAACCATCGAAGCGCCATGAAACTGTGCCAACTTTCGCAGGCAAACTTTGGCGTCTTTCAGGCCTACTCCTTGAAACCGATCCAACGAGGAATAACCCAAATCGCACAAATCCTCCAGGAGGTATATTTCTTTTCCGGCAGCGATTTCAGTCAACAGGCAACTAAGAAATGAAAGGTAAGTTAGCGAGTCAAATTTTGATTAAGTTAATTAATAAAATAAGTACTTACTCTGCGCTTAGTTTTCGTTCCCCGAATTCCGGCGAACATTTATTTAAAATCTTTGTCATTTCTGGAAGAAATTCCTCATACATCTGCTTCTCGTTTGTGCCCAGTTCGGCCACTCCGGGGAGGAGGTCTTTAAGTATATATTTTCCAGATTCCAAATCATTATCGGGCGATCGGCGGAACTTTAAGGCCACTCTATAGATAACGCTGCAAAAGTTCTCGCCGCTCTGGCTCACAACTTCGATATTGAAATTTTCCACCCGCAGTTTTTCACAACCGTAAGCTTTGGCTAAAGCTTTTTCAAAATATTCCGCACTATAGCTTTTCCGTTCCATAGCGACCGTTCTAAAGAGACCCCGACGAACAACTGAACCCCCAAACACGGTGAACCCCATATAACCCCTCTCGGGTTGTGAAATTCAGACCAGCTTTCCTCTGATTTATGAAATAGTTTAAGCTTTATCACTGAATGAACACTGAATGAACAACACACATGGCACAGAAAAAAAATTTCCTAGAAATATATCTACAAGATGTGTGTACAAACAATATAGTATTTCCTAAGAAATAATAAAAAGTATAACATTAAGCACAAGATTATAACCGTAATGCTTAATGGATATAGATAATGCTTAATGCCGATTTAATGCTTGTAGGCTAAAATAAACAGATTAGAAAAGATTTTCTGTGTAGCTCTAGAGAAGGTTTTCACTTCCTAGACAGATCGTACATGAATTGAAATATAATTGAAGCTGGGACAGTGTTTGTGTTCCATCTAAGTAGATTAAGGCTAAGCTTTCTTACAAATAGACTCTTAGAAAGATAATTTAATTACAGACAAGGAACGCCAAACATTACAAAATAAATAAAGAAAACATATAAAAGGTGATTTATCTGCATATCTCAGAATTTATTATTATATATTGCTTACAGATTTGAATATAAATGAACTTATGCCAATGTTTCTTATATTCTAAAAACCTCTTTTTATCCAGAATCCAGAATCATAAACTGAGAATTCGAACTTTAAACTATTTCACAATAACATATGTTTATACATACGTCCAGGATCCTCATGAATCCAGGATCCCGGATCCCCATGAGCACTAAAACCTTAATAAATTAATATATTTTTAGTTTATAAAAAATATATTTTATATAAAACGCAAACCGAATTTAAAAAGATATGATAGAAAGGTGAGGATCCTTTATTAAAACATTTTAAGATCAGGAGTTAAGGGCTGCACTCTATAACATTGAGTATAATAAATGTTGATTGTTTATTTTACAGTTGGGTATAATACCCTCCCTGCCCCTGATACTGTTTCTATTATTTATTTTGATTCACTAACCTTAGGAATACCTCCACAAACAATCGCAACAATGCTACACAGATACGCTGTACACACACACTTCACTTGGTTTTTACAGATAAGATACAAATCTTTTACAGATATTTTACAGATACGAAAAGCATAAGAAATCTATCTTTAGAATTGTATTTATTTTATGTTAAAGATTCGCAATGATATTGTAAACAGAAGACGCGCATTTGTGTGGAGAGTAACCAATCGTCCTTAAAAAAATAATGCTAATTAAAATTTAAAATAAGAAATGGTCTCACCATTTATTGAACGTTTATCGATAAAAAATTAAATTTTTAAAAAGAAGTACCGGTTATTTACAATAATCCCCTGTTAGAAATTTAAAGAATAAAATACAATTTTAAATATTTTAATACCAAAACTAATTAACATTTAAAGTTCCTAATAAACTAACTATAAAATTTCTAAACTATTCAAATGTATAATCAACCCTTTTTAGGCCCGAAAAGAAGTCTATGTCGAGAAGCTTACAAGGATTTCTTGACTGGGCTGACCGGGCTGATGTTTTGGCATCTGCATTCTTTACAATTCGACTCCACTCGGCCAGGTCGTTGCCTGGATTTTTGGGGTTTGTTTCCTGGTGAAGGGGTTTCAGCATGAAGTGGGACTTTGCTAGCTGATTTAACAATCGCACTGAAACAGAAAAAGGTATAATTAATGATATAAGGGCAATCTTTTCTGTTATTTCATACAATGTATTGGCTGGAAGCCCAGTAAATCCGCATATTCGCACCACCAGTTGCAAATCAGGCTTAAGTAGTGCTTTGTCGTCTCCTCGGAGTCCCGGAATAAAGAAGTCAGATAATACTCATGGAAGACTAGGGTCAGAAGATGTACGGCGATTCGGGATATCTCGCTAACTTGCTCAGTTCCTTTTTAGAGAATTCCATTAAAAATAAAGAAGATTCCTTATAAATCTGAAACTTACCCAATTTTCTCTGGTGCAGCATCCACTGATGCAACATCTGGAACACCAACGTAACGACACTAAGGCACAGTTTCGTATAACATTCACAGTCGTTGACTTTGCTCTGCTGCGATGAACTTGAATTGGAATTTGAATTGATGTTTAAATTCGAATTAGATGCCAGGGTGGAGCCATTCGAGATCGATGCCTGCATAGTGATTCCTGATTTCATTATCGTGCCATCACCCATATCCGACTCATCGTCGTCGGCAAAGTACGGAAGCTTTTCCATTATGAAATCTGGTGGATTCTTAAAGCATTCAAAAGCAAAGTGCACATGGTTGCCTCCAATTTGAAGAAGCAACTGAAGGTGGTCCTGCCTCAGAGGTGTTTCACTGAAGAAGCAGAGCTCCAGTAGCCCCGCATAGACTTGCAAAAAGCAGGAGTCTGGTCCGAAGCGATAAACTGATCGTACGCGGTCTGATACAAAGCAGCTCCTTGGGCTTTTTACACACATCTTCGCCAACATCTGAGGATGTCGAAGAGCGCTTACAAGGCAGGTACTGAGCTCACCAAAAATCCACGGACTGGGACGAGTGAAGACCAACTGTTTGAGCAGATCAAACAATAGTTCATCCTTTTCTGGGGGAAGCTCTTCGCTTTGCATAAGACTGTTTAATAAAAAAGCTAAAGCTTCGAGAAGTCCGAAATGCTCGCTGACCTCGTACGAAAATCCTAGCTTTACAACAGCTTCAACGACTATTTCCAACAATTCAATTCCATCGTGTTGCCCTTCCAAAAAAGCCTTGGCAATTCTCTCCTGATTCCGAAATATTAAGGCCAATGTGGCAATGTAGCGCCTTAAAAGCAAGGCACGCTCATTCTCGTAAAGACTACTCTGCTGAGACAGCGATACACGATGAACTGGCTCGTCCAGATTATATGGATTGTAGGGATATAGCATGCAGTTGTTAGGGAACTCCAGACTATGGGAATACGAAGAAAATTCTGCGAAAACATTCCCTGTTGAGGAGAGTATCCTTGGTATGAGGGCTTCCACTGATTCCGGTTGAGCTTGCAGCTGAGCAAAGCAAAGCAACAACCTTTTCAGCTCTAGCTCGAAAAGGGTTCTTTGCTTTTGACCCCGATGCTGCTCCTCTCCATACTCAAACACACTACCATTATCGGTTTTCAACCTGGAAACCGATCTGTGTATGTTTAGCTTATTGAGACGCAGCATTGAACGCTGCTCCGAGGGATCTGGGCCTGCCTGCAGCATGCTCATGTTCATACTCATATTCATACTCTTTTCGTGGGCTTTCTGTTGAATTTTAAGCTTTGTGTACTCAGCGTTCTTCATTTTTAGCTCAATATCTTTGGCGGCTACTTGTTTGGCCGCTTCGGCAACTTTTTTGCTACAATCCCGGTTCGTTTCATCAGCCAGGGCGAGTTTCTCCATCTTTGTGGACTGCAGTTGTTGTCGAACGTGCTTCAGTTGTTCGCGAAGCAAACTCACCTGAAACCAAAGCAAAGATTAAAAAATAATGAATATATTTTTAGTAAAACTTACCTCTCCCGACTTAATCTCATTCTGTTCGTTGCTATCGCAAAGATCTTTTTCCAGCCTTGTGTTAACCCGCTTTAAAGCTTCGATACGGTCCATGAGGAACTTGATTTGGTGCTCCTGCTGCCGGGATTGTGTGGCAGTCACGATTGTTGCAGTTGTTGTTTTCTGTTGTATACTGATGTTGGTTGTCCTGGTTTCCATTTGACTTTTACTGGTGCTAGGTTTGCTGTCCGGCAGCTTCATAGGCTCACTGTCCATGAGCGTAACAGCAAGAAAATCAAAATCGTCATCGTCGGCAAAGATGGCATCCATGTCCATAGTCGTAGATTTCTTGGCAGGTGGCGGCGCAGGAGGTGGAAATAGTTGCTGGGTACTGGTTGTTCCATGGACCATAGGAGCAAACTCAGTGAAGGTAATTTCGCTGTTATTCTCTGTCTCCGCCTTCTTCTTTCGCTCCTCCGCCTCGATTTCCGCCTCCACCCTCTGAGTGGCCATCAGGATGACATCGTCGTCGTCATCCCAAAAATCCATCATGGTCTTCGGCGGGCTTGGCCGTGTGGATGCCCGGGTTACGCTGACATCCAGACGGGGCTTTTTGGCCCGCGCAAAGTCCTTCATAGGGCCAAAACGCTTCGAAGCCATTTATTCCGCCGGTTTGTTTTGTTTACGTTATGTAGAGGTGTGGCCAGTTTTGGCTTAGATCATACGGAGACTTCTTGGATCACATTTTAGCTGATATATGGTTGAAATAAGACTTACGAAATAGGATAACATATTTTATTTAATAATATTTTTGAAAAAGTAATGTATAATTAATCCGGGAGTATTTAATATATAAATTATCTACAAAATCATCTAACGCCTTAAGAGTGTATCGGCATGTGCGTCCAATTTCTACGCTTCTCAACACTATCCACCTATTAACCTCAAAGGGGCCACCAAGACACTTTCAACGCGACCAAAATTGCAGAAAATAAGAAAATAATTGTAGTGTAAGGACAGCTGGTTGGGGTATCGCGCTTTTGCGGAGGACTGGTGGCACGAATGGGACGCCATGCCAGCTAAGAGGATGACGGCCACAATAGCAGCCCCCAGCGGTTCCACCAACAATAATAATGCACAAGGAGGAGGTGGAGTTCGCCCTCTGGAGACACTTAATGGGATGGTGCGATTGGCTCCAGCCAGGGATCTAACCCTTGGCGGGCGTGGCGCTGGACCTAACAACAAAAAGGTTTTCGCCCCAAACTTGAATGCGGTGCGGAACAAGAATGCGTAAGAATTCCATTGCCGCACACATGTTTTTGTTATAATAATTCCTTTACCTCTTTCTAGCAATGTGAAAACCTCTAAAGACACTACACAACCCAGAGGCGGACGTCGAGGTGGTCGTGGAAACGGCTCAGGATCAGGGCGTGGTCGTGGAGGCGGCGGTGGAAACTCCACACTCATCCAAACTCAGGGTCTTTTTTCCGAGGGCGCCGGTGATGGACACCTTCGGCGTTCCACGGGTAATGGTTCTGCTTATGCCAGGGCCGGAGATGAAGTGGCGGTGGCTCGAAAAAGAAATGACCGCAAGGACGATAAAGCCCAGGCGTTGAGAGTCAAAGAACTGATCGGCGAATCTGACGTCAGTGATGTGGACGAACCCAGTGACGAAGATGTCAATAAGACTGAGATGGCTTTACGACCAATCCTGTTAAAGGAAGGTGTGTATTCTAATTCCGAAAAGTCGCAATAAATATTTTATATTTTTAATTTGTACAGGTCTTTGGAGCACCCAAAAACCACCGATTCTAAAACAGGAGGATGAAAGTAACGCATCATCAAATAATTTAGGTATCTTGGAAATGCATTCACACAATCTACAAATACTAATTATTTTTCCGAACTAGATTCTTTGGCTGTGGCTAACCATCTGCAAAAGTTACACGTGGCCGCACAGGCTGCAAAATTGGAAGAACCGCCGCTTCAGTACGGCCGTTATCCACGAAGCATTTGCAACTTCCTGGACTCTCCTCAGTCTCAGATATTTCTCATGCAGTTGCCCGACGTGCTGCCATGTGTGGGAGATGAAGCTGAAGATGCGGAACCGTCCAAAGGAGAGCCAGCGGCAACTGCCAGTGAAAGTGAACCAAGCACAACCAATGTCAAATCGTCCAGTGCCAAGGAGAGCATGTTGCGTCAACTGGAAGACGGACAGATTGGCAAAATCCTGCGATATAGATCCGGACGTGTTAAGTTGCAGTTGGGCGACACGCGTTTTGATCTGGATATGGGGCTCGACCCGGGCTTCTTGCAAGAACTCATGTCTGTTACGGCGAATCGAGAACAGCGTAGCGGAAACATGATCAATCTGGGGCCCATTCAGGCCAAGTTAAAGGCCACACCCGACTGGGTACACCTATTTGAGCAGCAGGAGGCGGCCGCCAAGCGTATCCCGAACACGTAGCAAAACCTTCATCCTCCCCAGTAGAATAATTAAAATTGTAAATAGGCTGCGCCTTAGCATAAGTTATTCCTTCTTTTAACTCCATTTATGTTTTAAATATAGAAATTTCTGACATAATATAATACTTCTAGAAGAAAGCTACTTTTGGGTATGTTTGAGAGCGAACTGTGTAATTTAATCGAATTTAATAAGGCTGTCTTGCAAACAATTTTGACCAATTTATAAATTTTAGATGCTTAATAAACTGATAGGGATTCCATTGAATTAATTATAAAAACAGATATTTATTGTTATAATTTCTATCAGTTAGAAACCATTATACCAACAGCAATGCTTGTTTATTGTTGATATGGAAATGTCTGACAAAAGTATTGATTTACACATCATTTATATTTTATATTATTATTTGTTCAACATGGCTAAAGCACAAAACAAAACAGAGCACATTGTTTAATTGTTAACAGTTTACGCATATTTATTTTTATGTATTGGGAACATTCAGAGAAATCAATATATAAAAAAAATATGTTTATATATGAAGCCCTTAATTTTTACTGTTGAAATTTGTATTTCAATTTTTCGTAACCATCCTCCAAATATTATTCAAGGTCATCGATAATCGCCCCCGATGAGCTCTCTATAATTTTGGCGCCGTCTAGAGGTTGTCCAGAGCTCTGCCCCAATGAGATTGGACCGTCATTACCCTCCGCCGCCCGATTGCCGAACTCCTGCATTTTAACAATCAACATCGCAAATACTTGGGCTGGCAGGGAGGATTGCAGCACTTGTAGCAGACGAGCCGGCTGGCCGCAGACAACAATGGCATTTGCCAAATGCTCGACACCGCTGTCGAAATCTCCACGAGCAATCAGGGTCTCACCCTGTTGGATTTCTTGCAAGAAATATCTGAAAAAAAGGATAGTTTTAGAATAACAATCTAGTTAGGATTAATGAGTCCTATTTGTAGTGTCTAATTGGATAATTACTAATAAGAATTTCTTTGAAACTACAATTATGACTTAATATCTCGTTGGTATTGCAAAATACTTCTTTGTGAATGAAAATGAATCATGATTTATGACGAACAGAACCTTGAGAATACAAGCGTTGTTGTTCTTTTTTAGGTGGCGGTAGATACCATTATATATATATATATATTAGAGGAAAGTAAACATATATCCTATGTAAGTTACTGGCTTTTTGCCGAAACCTGAATCGAGTCTAGAACTTCAGCTTGAAGGACAAAACATAAGCTGGTAATCTTGAACCAACTTACATAAATAATACATGCCTTACAGCGTGTGTCCATAGAATTTTAATGTCATGTTTAAACTAAAAGTTGTGTGAAAAGGGCAAAGTACACACATAAGAGCATAAAATTCCATGTCTACATGAAAACTATTATGGATCTGCACAACTACACGTGCAACATTATATAATGATGTTCCCGTTGGATTTGCATACCTTTCAATTGCTTCATGATCATTAAGATTTGGTATTCCGGATTTAGCGCCTCCAGTTTTCTTGTTGCGGCGGCGACCTGGCGTGTGATGAAATGCTTAGTACTTTTCATTATTACCTATAACAACAAAAAAATTCTTACGCTCACGGACTTTCTTCTTGTACTCTGGATCGCTGCGGCGCTTCTTGTCGAAATAGATGCAGTATCCTATAAATAAAGTGCCAGCCACTCCCGCTGCAATTCCAATTGCAGTTTTGTTCATTTCAATCATATTTAGGAAAATTCTTCGGCTTCAAATGTGTCTTATTTTACATTCCCCATGTGCCCTCGATTTACATAAAACAAAAATCGATATCGCCGTTCCACTTGTCATCGTGTACGGTCATAAATATTCTACATTTTGGAACGATGGAAATGGAATAGATTTTTTAGTTAAATTTGTTTTTAATAATTCTAATTTTAATATCTTTGAGGGTGATTTTAGCCCTTATTTTAGTTATTTATTATCAATAAAGCTTTTATTATTTTCTTATACATTTCTCTGTGTTTCTTAAAAATTCTTAGAAGTTAAAAGCTTATTTACTTTCAAAACTGTCTTTTTATGCATTGAATCTATTTTTTATATTTAAAAAGATATATTTAAAACTAAACTTATAAAAATAAGCGAAATTTTAAGGTTTTCTCTAAAATGACCATCGAAATCACGAATTTATATTAAAAATTGGAAACTTGAAGCAGGAAAATATCTAGCTTGTTTTTAAATTGTAACGATATTTTTACCTTTCAAATGTAATTTTATACATGAAGACATGTACATGATTAACATAATTATTAAATGTATCGTATAATACATTTTATATATGTATTTTTCCCGTTAAAGAATCTCTTTTAGCTTTATTGTGGAAAAAGTTATATTTCTAAGTAAACAAGCCTTTTAAAAGAAATAAACGATTAAAATGCAATAATTTTTAAAATATTTATTTTTTAAGTTCATTTTGAATAATATTCACTTTTTCGGTTACTTTTTGAATGGCGCCCGGATGGGCATTTGAATTTGACGCAGAACCATGATGAAGTCTGAAATCTAAATTGATAAGTTCCAAACTGTGAGTGTGTGCATGCGCTGAAGTGTATGGATATTCATTTGGACCCGAATACATGGGCATTATATGCCTGTATTCTGTAAATATACATTTCTCTTTAATAAATAAGTTTTAGTGGCTCGATTGCCTCCCAATTGAACAATTCTTTCACTTAACCCGGGAGCACTCGAGAGTAACCATGCGGAGCTTGTGGCTGAATACCCTGACCAGACAAGGTAAAGAACAAACTTTTTTCTTAATCTTAACTAATTTTAACGTAATTCTTTTAAAAAGGTCTATATCGGTTGAGTACCTTGAAGTACTCCACCAGCGTTGAGCCAAAGGAACCCCTTGTAAAAACAAAATCGATACCGGGTCCTAAATCAATTGAGCTTAAAAAGCAACTGGATTCCGTGCAGGTGAATATGATAGGTTTTATCTAACGTGCGATATGAGAGATTATTTATAAACATACGAGTTCGAAATCATTTGGGTTTTTTCCTATTCGGGTCATAGAGATCATTAATCGGGAATAAAAATAACTTCTAAGGCATCGCACCACCAGCACACTTCTTATGAGGTCTTATTTATTTATTAAGGTAAATTGCTTCTTTATAGGCCACCGGAACGATCCAATTCTTTGCTGACTACGACAAGTCCATTGGCAATTATATCCACGACGTTGATGGAAATATATTGCTGGATGTTTACACACAAATTTCTTCCGTACCTCTGGGTTACAACCATCCTAGGCTATTCAATGTGTTCAACAACGAGCAGAATGTGAAAAGTGGGTTTATTTTGATTTATAATGATTGGTAAAGGTATATAATATTGATTATTTTTAGCCTTGATTAACAGACCTGCACTTGGTGTCTTCCCCGGTAAGGAGTGGCCGGAAAAACTGCACTCAGTTTTACAGAGTATTGCTCCAAAGGGACTTAACAAGATTACAACCATGATGTGTGGTTCTTGTTCCAACGAAAATGCCTATAAAGCTATTTTTATTTGGTGAGTATTTATGAATATTTATGATTATTAACTAAAATGAAAGATCAATAATAGGGGAAAAGCTTTTAATGGGCAGTCATGGTTACCAGAAAACGTTGTTACTTCTTTCCTCAATACCTTAATTACCTCTCTAATTAAATATCCATGAAATTTTCTTGTCTTTCGTAGGTATCAGAACAAACTCCGTGGAAATACCCCTCTTACGGATCAGGAGAGAAACTCCTGCATGATCAACATTCCTCCTGGAGCTCCTAAGCTAAGTATTCTTTCCTTCAAGGGTGCATTCCACGGGCGAACCCTGGGCGCTCTCTCTACTACACATTCGAAGTATATCCACAAACTGGATGTGCCTTCCTTTGACTGGCCCATTGCCTCGTTCCCACAGTACAAATATCCTTTGGAGGAGAATGTAGCGTACAATAAGAAGGAGGATGAAAAGTGCCTAAGCGAAGTGCAGGATTTGATCAAACAGTATGCCAGCAAGGTTCCAGTGGCTGGTGTTGTGGTGGAGCCCATTCAGAGCGAGGGAGGCGACAATGAGGCTTCTCCCGAATTCTTCCAGAGCCTTCAGGCCATTTGCAAGAAGAACGGCATCGCTCTCCTGATCGACGAGGTGCAAACTGGAGGTGGTAGCACTGGAAAGTTCTGGTGCCACGAACACTTCAACCTGGACGGTCCCCCGGACGTGGTTACCTTCAGCAAGAAGCTGCAGCTGGGCGGCTACTTCCACAACGATGATTTTGCTCCCAAGGAGCCCTACCGAATCTTCAACACCTGGATGGGAGATCCGGGCAAGGTCCTGCTCCTCGAAGAGATCCTTAAAGTGGTCAAAGAAGATAATCTCTTGGCCAACGTCAATGTGGCCGGAAAGGTTCTCAAGGAGGGCTTGTTGAGCTTGGAGAAGGAGTTCCCCCATATTTTGAACTCCACCCGTGGACGTGGCACATTTTTGGCCATCAACTGCACCAACACCAATGTGCGAGATCAGATTGTTGGGGCTTTGAAATTGCACGGCGTCCAAACGGGAGGATGCGGTGAGATTTCCATTCGATTCCGCCCGGCTTTGGTATTCAAGGAATATCACGCCAATATTGTCCTGGACCGCTTCCGCCAAGTATTGAAGGCCATCTAAGAACAACTTTTAATTATTTGAAATGAATGTGCTCTGAAAATTGAAATTGCTTGCCAATAGAAGTAGTAAATAATGCATCCACGCAGACCTCTATTGCAAACACATATATGTTATAAATAAATAATAAAATGAATCTATTTTTCCTGCTGTTAAAGCTTTTATTTTTATTTAAGGGGTACTCCACCTCCAAGTAACGAAAGAAATATTAGCCTGAACATGGAATAAGTTGTCAGTGTTTTTTTGGGAAATTTTAATAGTATAATGTTTATTAGTAAAAAGTTATTTTGCATGTAATTTTTCCAAAACTTTAACTTATTTCATCCAATACATTCATTCTATTCATCTTTGGTAATTGTCAATCATGATGAGGCGTAGATGGTAAAGTTCTTAATTCAAAAACACAATTATTTGTTGTTTTTTAAGTTAATTCTTATTTAGTTTTCCAACTAAACAAATTTGTCGATCTACTCGGGAATTCACTCAAAGAGCTTTTAGAAATTCTCGGTATATTCCGTTGATCCCACATGGTGAATAAAACTTCTCTAATTTATTTTTAAAGTTAATGATTAACGATAATTCAGGAATTCATCCATTCAGTACCAAAAGCGCCAAGAGCGAAGATTTAGTATGTGAGCCCAAGGAACCTGTTCTGAAATCAAAGGATATACCTGGACCCAAGTCAATAGCTTTAAAAAAGAAACTAGAAACTATTCAGGTAGATAATTATTATTATTAGTGCATTTATTCTTCACAGGATGTTTATCTAAGAAGATATATACGTATCTAAGATGTATCTTTAATTTAGGCGGCTGGAACCGTTGAATTTTTTGCTGATTATGGAAAATCTTTTGGAAATTATATATGTGATGTGGATGGAAATATGATTCTTGATATTTTCACACAAAAATCGACGCTACCCTTGGGCTACAATCATCCAAAGCTGCTTAAAGTATTTCAAAATGAGCAAAATTTAAAAGGTATTTCAAAAAAACTCTTTTTAATTATATATATATATAATATAAAAGCATATTTTTCAGCTTTGATCAATAGACCTGCTTTGGGTATTACTCCTGGAAAGGATTGGCCGGATAGGCTGTCCAGTGTGTTGCAATCTGTAGCTCCTAAAGGACTCTCCAAAATAACTTCTATGATGTGTAGTTCATGTTCCAATGAAAATGCCTACAAAGCAATATTCATCTGGTGAGTTCTTAGTAAATACATATAAATTAGAAAGTACATTTTCCTTATATTCTTAATAGGTACCAGAATAAGCTTCGCGGCGACAGTTGCCCTTCTGAAGAAGAAAAGAAATCGGCCATGCAGAATAAACCCCCAGGATCTGCCAATTTAAGCATCCTTTCATTCAAAGGTGGTTCCCATGGAAATACTTTGGGGACCCTCTCAACATCCCATACGAACTATATCCGTAAACTTGATTACCCAGCCTTTGAGTGGCCTGTGGCAAGGTTTCCCAAATACAAGTATCCACTTGATAAGAATCAGGCCTTTAACAAGAAGGAGGACAAAGATCGTCTCCGAGAAGTGAAGGAACTTGTTGGGAGCTCTGCTTGCAAGTGTCCAGTCGCAGGGATTATTGTGGAGCCAATTCAATGCGAGGGAGGCGACAATGAAGCCTCGGAAGAATTCTTCAAAGGCCTCCAGACGATCTGCAAGGAAAAAGAAATAGCCTTTTTGGTGGATGAAGTTCAAACGGGCGGTGGTATCACTGGGAAGTTCTGGTGCCATGAACACTTCAATTTAGAGGGGCCCCCGGATCTGGTAACGTTTAGCAAAAAGTTACAAATGGGTGGTTTCTTTCACAAGGACGAATTTGTCGCCAAGGAGCCATACAGGATTTTCAATACCTGGATGGGAGATCCTTCAAAATTGTTGCTCCTAGAAGAAATCATACATGTTATTGAGGAAGAGAAGCTGTTGGAAAATGTCAATCAGACTGGAGCCTATTTCAAAGAAGGATTGATGAGTATCGAGAAGGAATTTAAGGACTTGCTGCATTCAACTCGCGGAAGAGGCTTCTTCTTGGCCATAACCTGTGCCAATGCAGCAACGCGAGACAAAATTGTTGTCACCCTAAAGAGGGTGGGAATCCAAGTTGGGATTTCTGGGGAAAGTTCGATTCGATTTCGGCCAGCCTTAATTTTCAAAAAAGAACATGTCGACGTGTTTCTAGATCGTTTTCGTAAAGTTTTAAAATGCCTTTAACTTAATAATTCCCCAAGTTTATCGAAATATCCAAAATAAAATGACGCCCTGACTTGAACATGAATATTGTTTACACTTTCCTCGCCAGCTACTCACCAATCAAATTAAAAAACATATCTTCATACTTACGTTTTAACATTTAAGAAGCACATACTTTATTCAATAACGCTTAATTTATGATCACTTTATTATGAAAAATTTAAAACCGCAACATGGGTGTTTTGGAACGGTCATAATTAGATATTATTATTTAGATATAATTTAATATTATAAGAATTGTTTATTATTAAAAAGAAATATATATATAATGGCCATACTGAAACAAAACAATTTAATTCGCAATTACTCTATACACGTTTAAATGATTATTGCTTGCTTTTCAATAGTTATTTAGTTAATGGGACTGCGGATCACACTGTAATAATCGTACTATTGATGGATCACTTTTGGCTCCTTCTATGAACTCTTCCAAACTTAATTTTCCATCTTTGTTTCGATCCATTTGGCGAAAGATTTTATCGGTTCGTTTTTCAGGAGTACTTTCGTCTTCTGGCATTTTCATTACCGATCCTACCATTTTATATATTGCCTAAAAAAACATTATATTTAAAAAAAAATAGTTAGGTGAGATAATAATTTCTTACTGTAACAATTTCTAGCATTTCTTGCCGCGATATGTATCCGTTTCCATCTAGATCATACATTGAGAATGCCCATTTAAGTTTTTGCTCGAGCTTGCCTCGAGAGGTGACACTAAGTGCACACAAAAACTCTCTAAAGTCTATAGTGCCATCGCCGTTAGCATCAAATGTCCTAAACACATGCTCTGCAAACTATAATTAGGAAAATCAATTATTAACATAAGCTTTTACAAAAGTTTAGAATAAGCTACCTTGCTGGCATCGCCATATGGAAAGAAATTCCCATATATTTTTTTAAACTCTTCTACCGACAGATGCCCACTGGGACAGTCCTTAAGAAAGCCTTTATACCATTCTTGAATTTCAGCATCTGAAAACAAAAGACAAATAATAGTAAAGGTATTTGTATTAAAAAAATTACACTTTACCTGTGAATTCTGTGTTTTGTTTAAGGTCCTCCAAAACTTCGGGTTTTAGTTTACTATTTTGCTTTCCCATTGTGGCAGAATAATTTCATTATACAGTAATCTTAAAATGTAATAAATTATTTAGTTAAACTTTTTTTTTTAAACATATGTTCATTAACAAACAACAACAAAATTTCTCATCGGGTACCGAAGAAAAATACCCTTGCAGACCGGATAATAACTCATATTATTTTATGTATGTTGCCAATAATTCTGTGGTGGTACCTTAAGTATTATCAATTGTCCAAAAAACGACGCAAATAACGACTGCGCCAAGTATACCATTCATTGTGTTTCATTTGATATATATCTGTTAAATAGCATAGATAGTATTTGTCTTAAAATCAAAGATAAACTAAATGCATTGTGAGCCATATTAAGTAGCTTTACAATAACTAAATGAATACAAAAATTACTATATAAGCAGATGTATAACTATAAGCGAAACATTGTTCCCCAATCCAAAAGAGAAACACACAAGCCCGAACTCAGTTGACAGATTTTCGATCAAGTAAACCAATTAGATTATCCCCAGATCAGAAACATCACAATAATCCAGTTTATACGAGTTCAAGCCTGCCGGCCTTTTGGCAAAAAAGAAGAGTCCAATTATCTATAAACAGCATCTATAATATGTATATGATGTATGCACTAATGGGTAGATAAAGAAAAACTATGAAGATCGACACTATTTATATATGCATCACAACTCTAGGAACTAAAAATAGATGAATGCATTAATATGTTGTTTAATGAAGTACAATCAAAAATTTTAATGATTTCATAGTTTTATAGTAGTTTAATTTTAGTATAAGAAATATAAATTAAATATTTATACATTTCATTACTGATTTCATCAAATACACACATATTGTAGGATATAATTGTTTATGGTGCCAGCATTTTAGACAGCTCCTCATCTTGCAAGCATCCTTTTAAGAACTCATCTTGGGTTAATTGACCATCGTTATTTTCGTCCATTTTTGCAAAAATATTTTTTGCTCTTTCTTCTGCTGAATCAGCTGGACGATTAGATGAGCACGCTCCTAGCATGTCATAAATTGCCTAAAACAGAAAATCACATTAATAGTTTATTCCTCAACCTATGGACTAACGAGACTTTGGGAGGAAGAGGCTTTCGGCTGAATGATTACCTGAACAATCTTGGTCATTTCCTGTATGTCTATGACACCATTGCCATCGACATCGTACATTCGAAAGGCCCACTTTAGTTTTTCTTCCGGTGTTCCGCTTGAAGTTACGTCTATTGCGAGTAAAAATTCCTGAAATAAAAATAATGAATATTAATAATGAAAATAGATATATTTAGGTTGGTCTTTTTGCAACGTTTAGCAGATGATTAAAAGGTATTAAGCCATTTAACTTGTCGTCAAAATATACTGCAGCCGAATAAATTAAAATGTCAGCTATTAATTCAGTTGATTTATTATTTAACGTACCATGCGCGTTACAGGCCCATAATAAAACAACACTATATGCATACTTATCACATTTACAATATATATACACATATATATACATACGTTCCTCCCGATCAACAGTCAAACCGATGGGTGTCCAAATATGCCATAACAGCTTTTCAAACGTCATAAAAAAAAAATCTAATGAAAATATAACGTCAGCGTTACTTCTATTGCACCTGGTCACCTCGGGAAACGATTAAAGGCAAGCCGACAGTAATTTCGGATAAAAAAAATCTAGCCCATTCCCTCCCTAACACGCACATACATGTACCTTTGGCAACACGCGGATTTCTTTGTTTGTCAGCGCCCAGGTATTAAATGTAAGGTGACCTTTATACCTCATTTAAATATTTAACCTATTTCTTTCGAAAAAAGTCAATTCCATGAAGAACAGTGCAATATTTTGAAACGGCTTCTGTGCTGGTGGGGAGCCCCAGTAATGAGTAGTTGATGGAAAATTACCTTAAAGTCAATATATCCATTTTTGTCCATATCGAATGTACGAAAAACATGGTCGCAAAACTCTTCCGCATTCCCGGATGGGAAAAACATTTTATACATATCGACAAATTTCGCAGGCGTCAATCTGCCGTTGGGACAATCTTGCTATATATTTAATAAAGAAAACACAAACACACATATCATTTGAATGGTTTTTTCCTGATGTAATATATGTACTTACCTTAAATCCTTTATACCACTCTTTAATTGTAGCTTCGTCATATCTCGTATGGGTTTTTAAAAACTCCATGTCCTCTTTGGTTAAACGGTCTTTACTACTCAAGCACCCCATTGTTTTTCACTGTTTATAACTTTTTAGGATCTAAATTTTATCTATTTAATTTTCTCTTTGTTTAAATTGCTTTGCCTGGTCTGTACATTTGACTTAATGTTATTGGTGGACAGAAAAACTCCAAATCAATAATTTCGCTTGTATGGCATTACGTTAACGATATGTATGAATTGTGGTACGAAAAAATAATGGTTGAACGAACGACTCATTTATAAAATTTTCTTGATAATAATAAGCAAAAATTGTACTTGACTATTAACTTGTATATTTCAAGCCTGATGTGTACCGAAGGACTAATCAAATGGATCAGGCGCATGCGCGGAAATTGTCTCTATACAGGACTATTATTGGTTAACCAAATTTTCTGTACACGGTAGGACTTTTTGAAGGAAGGAAATAGGGTTGCCAACGTTATTTGCAACAAATAACTTCCTTATTAATTTGGTTTTTTTATTATTTCATCTAATTTAAAATAAATTCTAATTCACAAAAAGTCACAATGCTATAAAAAATAAAACAATTTAAAAAGAAGAAAGAATAATAAGTATTTATGGAAATTTCCCTTGGTAAACTTGTTACCCAGCGTTAAGCTTTTTTTTTAATATATTAGCAAGTTGGCTTTATTGCTATCCGCTTTTGATTTAAGGTAATTAAAAACCAATCGAATTTAAGCCAAAGTTTTATTTTTAAGTACGATTTATTGTTATTAAGTATTTATTTATATAAATATATATGTAAAGCGATGCGGAGCTGCAAATTAAAATACTTTATCAGACCATTCCGGCATGGAAAAGTTATTTTTGAGCCCGTGAAAGAAATCTTCACACAAAGAGGACCACCATCTTCTGAACAAAATGAGATCAATGACCAAATAGTGCAAACGATCGATTTTATTTTTAAATTTTGATAGTTTATTGCACAAACACGAGACAAATATTTTAAGTATTCAGAATTTTACATTTAAAATAAATTTGTTAACTTAAAATTTTGCTGCAATATGATGACACGATTTATTATCGACAATACAGTCGAAACGAAGGATCGAGAATACATTCGATCAAAATTTTACAATCTGCAAGGGTATATGACACTAATATATTTTATTTATTTCATTTTTTTATCGTCCGTATTAAAATTGATTAGATTATACATAAAATTATTGGGTTTTTTACACACATTTTTGGAAATATTTAATAAAATAATATGAGTTTAATCGTCTGCTTAGGTAGTTGGTTAATCATGCATTTTTAGGCTACATTTAAGCTTGGCACGAATATTATTAATATTTATACTAAGTTTTAAAATATATCTTTCACTTACATTAGACAATTTATCGTCGACCAAGTCAAGAAGCATTATTCACCTCATAGGGTTAGTAAGCTGAAAGAAACAAAAATTGTATGAATTTTTTGCTACAACAATTTTAAACAATACATTTTAATACTAGTTTTTATTTATAGAAATTATAACAGCTCATTTTTGAATTTTTTCAAAGTAACGTAAAAATACCTATTTCATTTGAGCATTAAATTCGCGAGATATTTTTATCCGATATAATAAAATCTATAGGAATGTCTACGATCTCACCGAGTGCTAATGGTTTTGTTGTTTCCTCGAAAAATGTACTTTAGAAATTGTATTTATGAACTATTGGGTGTGAGATTTAGGTCATGGATTAAGGACCTTGTTCGGTGTTACCCAATTTCCTGGTCACTAAGACCGAATTGCAATCAATTTACAAATTCACTTTCAGCGGGGAATACATTGGGCGAATTTTGGCATACGCACACGCCTGCGTGTCACGCAAAAAAAAAAAAACACGACCCGCGCCTATATAATTTTGTTCTTTGGAGTTTTATTTAATAAGATTATTTTGCTTAAAATATTAACAAATTTTTAAAAAACTGAGCCAAAGACTAATTACTTCAAGTAAAGCTGCGCAACTTTTTCGGATGTGAATGCATTCGATGAACACTTTTATACTCCACTTTAGAAACACATTCTTACATAAATTTGTACTATTTTTTGTTAAAACATTCAAATTCATATAGAAATACAACCGGCTCGGCTTTATTATTTAAATGAGCTAGATTGTTTCGCCTTATTTACATGTATACACACATATATTGAATTTGTTTTATATATATGCTGTGCGTAGTCACGTGCCCACAAATTTGACGAGATTCACTCGGTTGACATGTGTATGCATTTTTATTTCCAATATAAAACCGTCCTAAATTTTGTTATTTTTGATATTTATATGCGTAGCGAACACATATATACATATGTATGTATGTACACGCAGTATATGCAAGCAAAATTTAACTGTGTGTACATATTCACTTGATTTTCGGTTGTCTCCAAGTGTCTGGACGTTTATTACCTGGATACGAACAGCACATTGATTTTAGGCACATTTCCGCTCCCTATAAATTAAGCAGAACCACTTTTCGCAAATGCAATAAAAACTTATTCGACCAAAACACAATCAATACAACAAAATTTAGGGGTGGCAAAGCTAGAATAGTATTTGTAGTATTTAGTATTTTCTGAAAATGTGGCAACATAGGTTTCAGATACAAGTTGGCAGCACTACTTGGCCTGTCCAGCAATGTTGTGGCGTGCGAGCGAGAGGGAAATAAGACTTTGGGGCTTATAGTTTTTTTGATATTTCCATTATAATAATTTTAATATTCTTAAGAATGGCCTTTTCACAACCTAAAATCCCAATAAACCGTATTTTTCATTTTAAAAAAGTTCCAGTAAAAATTCCGGGAAATCCCCAAATTGGCCAACACTGTCCAGTTTCCGGAACCAGGTATCTGGGTCACTGTAAGCCCTATCTACACAGTTCTGGAACGGTGGTGTTCCTCAAGAAGGATGAACTAAAATGGTAAAATACTATGTAAATTTAAATTTTAAATGAAAGAACATACTAACAAGTAATAAAGACATTTTACCTTCCAACGGGCGTAAAAAAATGGATAATTTATTATTCTCCTCCTTTGAAAAAAATTTAAAAGGATTTGTTTTGAAAAACCTATAGCAAATCAAAATCTAGAATAGAATAGCTTTTAGCTTGGAATTTGAAGCTTATTTAGCTAATCGATTGAATGCATAGGTGTTAATTGTAATTCGAACAATTAAGTTTCGTACAAGCGTGTATGTATGTCAACTTGAATAGTTTGTGCTTCTCGTTATATTTAGATTAAGTTTTCTAAGTGCATTTGTTTCGGCCCAGCGTTTTATCATTTAGTCTTTTTTCTTTTATACCAGTATAAACACTATTTTAAAGGTACCAGTGCTGAATTTTCAATTAATTAAATCGTATCCTAGTTTCCTTTGAAAGGCATTGATCTAGTAGGAGGCACCCTTGATCATAATTAAAATTTTTTATCGATTTATCCCTGATATTAAATAGATTTATAATTATTAAATTATATCTTAACGAAGAAGCATTTTAAAAGGAGTTTATTTAGTTGTTGGACTTTTTTTTATGTAATGGTGTCATTAAACCTTTTTTTTTAAGCTATTTATAAGTAAATTAGTTCATTTGGTCTGAGGAATTATGTAATACTAGAATAGGTGTCAGGGACTTTCAATGATAAACAATGATGTAATCCTAAAGAGTAGAAAGTATTCAATTTGAATATTTTTCAAATATTAAACAAAATTTAATAAGGACCCAAAGAAGTGAAGCGATAAAATGAAATTCTAATAAATTGTTGGGTTATGAAATAAATTTTATATTGAGCTTCAGAATTCAAATCAAATGTTTTTAAATTTTTAGTAATATGGCAGACGAAGAAGATCCATGGGGTTTCGACGATGGCGGCGATGAACAGGCGGCATCTTCCGCCCCAGCCACCGATGCTCCACCCTCCAAGGCACCCAGTGTAGCACCTTCTGACCACAAGTCCGACAGCGTAATCGTGGGTGGAACCCCGGCCAATGAGGAGGCTGCCCCTGTCGAGGAAGAAGCCCCATTACCTCCTCCACCTCCGCCAGAAGATGATGGTTACAGGAAACCAGTGCAATTGTACCGGCACTGGGTTAGGTAAGTTTTGAATTTGTTCTTATAAAATTAGAATAATTTGCTTATTATGTTATGTAATATTTTTCAGGCCCAAATTTCTCCAATACAAATATATGTACAACTACAGAACCAATTATTATGATGATGTAATTGACTATATTGATAAAAAACAAACTGGAGTGTCGCGTGAAATACCAAGACCACAGACGTGGGCGGAGCGTGTCCTTCGTACACGAAATATCAGGTGAAATATTTTAAAAATTTTTTTAGATTTACGTAATAAATGAATAATTTTTCAGTGGCAGTGGCATTGACTCGTATGCTCCATCGGCAAAGAGGGACAAGCAATTAATCCAAACATTGGCGGCCTCCATAAGAACTTATAATTACCACACCAAGGCATACATTAACCAAAGGTATGCCAGTGTCCTTTAGTAAGCGTAAGATACGCACTTTAATTTAATAATAGAATCCTTAAAAAGATGAACACTCGTAGTTAATAGAGATATTATATTAGGCGTTTGTATATCTGCGCATCTCCGCCTCAACTTTTAACCTTAAAAATAAGAGGTTAATAGTTTCAGGTACCTCTCTTCAAAAAGAAATAATTATATTTTGTATATTTCTTACAAGCGTAATTTCTGTTAATATATTTTTATATATATTTACATATATTAACACAACTTACCTCTCAATACATGGTATTTTTTAAGATTATTTACTTCGTTTCTAGTCAAGTGAATAAATTAAAAAACTAATTTATATTGTAAAGCTAAAAATTAAATAAAAACTGTGCAATAATAAAAATATATACATTTTAGTGTTTTACTTTATTTTAAGAAATAATTTTATGCCTTATAGTTGACATCAATGGGTCCGCATAGTATATGGAGTGTCGTTTAGAAAACCTTGATACTCTATTTGAAATAGGACAAGTCCCGTAAGGGATAAGGAAGGTATAAACTGGTACAAGTTCCGGAACAGAATAAAGCTTTAGCTGCACAGATACGCAGCTTTCAGTCGCCCTAAAATTATCTAATAAACTAAATTAATGCTTTGTTATGTTCTAAATTGATATTAGGGTGAGCTAACTATTTGAAATTAAGGTATAGAAAAAATAAATTACTTAACAAAGAAATATTTGTATATAAGAGGAGTGCTGATTGCTGGAGCTATTAAATATTTAAAAAAATGTTCGCTATATTTTACATAAAATATATTTTTCTAAGGTTCGCCCTATTCGAAATAAATCTACCAGCTGGAGAACAGGTTTCATTATTTATTTTTTTGACTGAGCTCAAAGATAAAGCAATGTTTTTACTTAAATCAGCGCCAGCATTGATTTTATTAATGTTTATTATCGGAATAAGCTGTAGAGAACTGTGGAAAGTGCTATTCTTAATATATTTCTTACTAAATAAATAATAATTGTCTATTTTCTTTAGTTCAAAAAATAATATACATGCCTTAATTTTAGCAAGAGGAGGTAGCAAGGGAATACAACTAAAAAACTTGGCCGAAGTTGGAGGAATTTCATTACTGGCCAGGACAATTAAAACAATTCAAAATTCTGCCTGTTTTGAACACATATGGGTTTCCACAGATGACAAAAGAATTGCCTTGGAAGCACAAAAATGTACGTTTTATAAAGCTCACCTTATTTTTATTTAAAGGAAGTATAACTTAGATGGAGCAATTATACACGATCGGCCAGAAAAATTCGCCAAAGATAATACCCCATCAATAGATGCAATAAAAGAGTTTCTGGAAGTACATGCTACGGTTAAAGATTTTGCTCTTTTTCAATGTACCTCGGTGTTTTTAAAACCCACATACATCCAAGAGGCTGTACAAAAATTTAAGACACATGACTGTGTATTTGCAGCTAAAAGGTAAGCAACATAAGGATTTTGTAATAGGCAGATTAAAATTAAATACATTAATTTATAGATCACATTATTTAAGATGGAAGGAAGTAAATGATTCCTTGGTTCCTGTCGATTTTAATTTAGAGTCTAGGCCTAGACGTCAAGACTGGAAGGGAGATATTGTGGAAACAGGAATGTTTTATTTTTCGAAAAGGAAGCTGGTTGATAAGGGACTTTTGCAGAACAATAGGTAAGAAAATGTATATTTTTCTAAATTCTAACTAATTTGAAAACTTTCTTTAGATGCTCTATTGTGGAAATTAATTCCGAAGATGGCCTGGAAATTGATTCAAGCCATGATCTTTCGTTGGCCAAGTATATTTTAAGTAGTAGAACCAAAACTGATTTATAATAAATTATAGTTTAGTTTTAAATAATAGTTAAGTAACTTTTAATCCATATTTATTTCCCAATAAAATAGGCATTTAAAGAAAACAAGATTATTTTAATATCCTAATTTAGGCTGTTGTGTTTTTGGATTAGTTTTATTATTTTTTAATGATTAGGTATTTTCGTTTCAAGTTTTCAGTTTATTTTAATTTCGGTGTTGATGTTGGCCAGGCCATCACGGAGGTGTAGCGACTGATTCGTTTGGTCAGCAGACGGGGCATCATGGCAGTGGCTGTGGGTCTCAGTATCAGGCAAGCGCGTCCGAATCTAGCAGTGTAGAGGGAATTGGGATCACTCTTACTATTGGTACCACCTCCACTTTCACGATCCATTTCCTTAGACAGCTTCTTGCTGGTGATTTCTCTAGATTGATTTAGCTCGGAATCTTGAGGTTTTTTGGTGAATATACTTTTTATCCCAAAGGCCACATCAGCCTCATCTTGCGTTTTTAGCAGCCTGGGCTTTTTTGGCGGCAGAGGGATTGGCGTTTGCTGCTGATATTGCTTTTGGCCGTTATAGCAGGATCCACAATGGCAATAGGGATGGTGGTGCAAATGCATCCTGCAGTGTGTACACTGATTATAATTGGGCTGCATGGATGGGTGCAGACAGTAGTTCATTCCTGGGTAATATCCACCAACTGGAAGACTTTGCTGCTGGGGTTGTGTAAATCCAGGGTACGGGGAAGGCGTCACAATGGGTGGATACATTTGTTGGCCAAATTGATTGCCGGATGACATAAAGCCGAGAGACTGGGTGGATTGCGGGCTCGGGGCAGAGTAGAAGGGACAACTATTGCAGGAGGAGCTATAGAACAGAGCCGGTCTCAGCACGGAACAGCTGCTGCAGGGACAACTCGCATCCTGTGGCGGCCCTAAGAAGCCACACTCGTTACACTTGCTGTCCGCTGGGGGCATCGGTCGGTATGGCGGTGGCCTCGACGGACAGCAATTGCTGCAGGTGCAGCTGCAAGAACTGGGGAGGTTGTTAGGCGGAGCACCCAGAAATTGCTGGCAAGGACACATTACAGGTGTCGCCGATGCAGGGGCTTCTCTTTGGTTCACGGGTATGAAGCTGATGGTTACATGGGGCTGGTTGTTACCATTGATTGAATGCTGTTGCTGCTGATGTTGGTGATATTGAGCTGGGGCAGTTTCAGTATTATAGCCACCTTCGTATCGTGGATTGTAGACCATTGATGACATTTTCTGAAGTCTGCGACGAACTTGAGCGGCGGTCTTATCCGAAAGTTTTCGCAAGCTAGGAACGTTCTTAACTATAATTTAAATTCCAAAATAATATTTAAATTATGTTACTGGTAATATAGTAAATAAATAGTTTACCCATATTGCTGCTGCCCTTTTCCGGTAAAGTCTCTTTTGATAGAAAAACCTTTTCTATGTGAGGTTCCTTCTTGTCCAAGGGAATTTGAAGATGAGGTGGTCTCGCTGAACCCAGATTTTGTTGCTCCTGATTATCGGCAGAAGCATCCTTATGTACCATTATTGATGGACTATTGAAGAGGTCATTGCGGCAAATTTTTACAAGCTCACGAAGGATATCAGACTTCCTCATACCAGCGAATGGCCCTTGAAGTGTATCCATTTTTCCCCTTTCTGTTTTACGATTTGTAAGAGAATTCAGCCGTTTTTGTTCGCTCTTTAACAAAGCAAAGCTGAGATTATGTTTCCTACTTTGAAGCCTTGACTTTTTTGGAACTTCTTTAAATAAATTTCCCCCACGTATTCTTTCCTGGAGCGTTTTGACCTCTATAGATGTCTTTTCCGAGTCGGGATACTTCTGAGGACTGATATCGATTTGACCCTTAGAGCTCACGGTAATTAAGAAGCAGCATTTTAGATTATCTTTTTTTTGAGACTTGTGCAACTTTTGACCACAACAGTTTTGATCAGTGCCGCTCCGAGACCCCATCTTTGACTCAGTGCCAATTGATTATTCTTATTTTATACCATTTTTCATTTAATTTTGTGTATTTTTACTGTCACTTTTGAAAATGGGACTTTGATGTTATTGTAAAGCGCAAATGTATTACGATTTCATAAAATAAAATTATAATGCAGATTAATGAAAGATGAGTCTTTTACGATTATAGCCATAGATGTGCCCGGACTTTTTCAAATCTAAAATATATGTATGAGTTATATGTATATGCAGAAAAAAGTTTCCAGGTTTATAAAGAATATGGACCTGCAAAACTTTTAAGGTACTCTGCTCAATAATCGGAGAACAATTTCCAAAGATATAGCCACATTGTGGCTCCAAGATGTTTTGTGGATTTTCAAAGGGGACCCTACAGAAAATTTGGAAAAAATCTACAAAATTTTATGTTCATTGATTTTGATGCAGATTTATGAAGAATTGATCTACAAATCGTTTAAGGTACCCTACTTAGGAATCGGATAAAAGTTGCCAAAGATATAGGCTTCGCAGTGAGCCATATAGTGGCTCCAAGCTGTTTTGTGGATTTTCAAAGGGAACCATACAGAAAATTTGGAAAAAATCTACAAAAGTTTATGTTTGTTGATTTTGATGCAGATTTATGAAAAATTTATCTACAAATCGTTTAAGGTATCCCCCTTAGGAATCGGATGAATATTGCCAAAAATATAGGCTTCGCAGTGAGCCATATAGTGGCTCCAAGCTGTTTTGTGGATTTTCAAAGGGGACCCTACAGAAAGTTTGGAAAAAATCGACAAAATTTTATGTTCGCGGATTTTGATGCAGATTTATGAAAAATTGATCTACAAATCGTTTAAGGTACCCATCTTAGGAATCGGATGAATATTGCCAAAGATATAGGCTTCGCAGTGAGCCATATAGTGGCTCCAAGCTGTTTTGTGGATTTTCAAAGGGGACCCTACAGAAAGTTTGGAAAAAAATCGACAAAATTTTATGTTCGCGGATTTTGATGCAGATTTATGAAAAATTGATCTACAAATCGTTTAAGGTACCCGTCTTAGGAATCGGATGAATATTGCCAAAGATATAGGCTTCGCAGTGAGCCATATAGTGGCTCCAAGCTGTTTTGTGGATTTTCAAAGGGGACCCTACAGAAAGTTTGGAAAAAAATCGACAAAATTTTATGTTCGCGGATTTTGATGCAGATTTATGAAAAATTGATCTACAAATCGTTTAAGGTACCCGTCTTAGGAATCGGATGAATATTGCCAAAGATATAGGCTTCGCAGTGAGCCATATAGTGGCTCCAAGCTGTTTTGTGGATTTTCAAAGGGGACCCTACAGAAAGTTTGGAAAAAAATCGACAACATTTTATGTTTGTTGATTTTGATGCAGATTTATGAAGAATTGATCTACAAATCGTTTAAGGTACCCGTCGTAGGAATCGGATGAATATTGCCAAAGATATAGGCTTCGCAGTGAGCCATATAGTGGCTCCAAGCTGTTTTGTGGATTTTCAAAGGGGACCCTACAGAAAGTTTGGAAAAAAATCGACAAAATTTTATGTTCGCGGATTTTGATGCAGATTTATGAAAAATTGATCTACAAATCGTTTAAGGTACCCGTCTTAGGAATCGGATGAATATTGCCAAAGATATAGGCTTCGCAGTGAGCCATATAGTGGCTCCAAGCTGTTTTGTGGATTTTCAAAGGGGACCCTACAGAAAGTTTGGAAAAAAATCGACAAAATTTTATGTTCGCGGATTTTGATGCAGATTTATGAAAAATTGATCTACAAATCGTTTAAGGTACCCGTCTTAGGAATCGGATGAATATTGCCAAAGATATAGGCTTCGCAGTGAGCCATATAGTGGCTCCAAGCTGTTTTGTGGATTTTCAAAGGGGACCCTACAGAAAGTTTGGAAAAAAATCGACAACATTTTATGTTTGTTGATTTTGATGCAGATTTATGAAGAATTGATCTACAAATCGTTTAAGGTACCCGTCGTAGGAATCGGATGAATATTGCCAAAGATATAGGCTTCGCAGTGAGCCATATAGTGGCTCCAAGCTGTTTTGTGGATTTTCAAAGGGGACCCTACAGAAAGTTTGGAAAAAAATCGACAAAATTTTATGTTCGCGGATTTTGATGCAGATTTATGAAAAATTGATCTACAAATCGTTTAAGGTACCCGTCTTAGGAATCGGATGAATATTGCCAAAGATATAGGCTTCGCAGTGAGCCATATAGTGGCTCCAAGCTGTTTTGTGGATTTTCAAAGGGGACCCTACAGAAAGTTTGGAAAAAAATCGACAACATTTTATGTTTGTTGATTTTGATGCAGATTTATGAAGAATTGATCTACAAATCGTTTAAGGTACCCGTCGTAGGAATCGGATGAATATTGCCAAAGATATAGGCTTCGCAGTGAGCCATATAGTGGCTCCAAGCTGTTTTGTGGATTTTTGAAAGGGACCCTCCAGAAAATTTTACAAAAAGTCTAAAAAATTGAATTTTCTTAGATTTTGATGCAGATTTATGGAGAATCGATCTACGAATCTTTTAAGATACTCTTCTTAAGAATCGGATGAATATTGCCAAAGATATAGACTTCGCCGTGAGCCATATTGTGGCCCCAAGCTGTTTTGTGGATTTTTGAAAGGGACCCTCCAGAAAATTTTACAAAAAATCTAAAAAATTGAATGTTCTTAGATTTTGATGCAGATTTATGGAGAATCGATCTACGAATCATTTAAGATACTCCTCTTAAGAATCGGATGAATATTGCCAAAGATATAGACTTCACAGTGAGCCACATTGTGGCCCCAAGCTGTTTTGTGGATTTTTGAAAGGGACCCTCCAGAAAATTTTACAAAAAGTCTAAAAAATTGAATTTTCTTAGATTTTGATGCAGATTTATGGAGAATCGATCTACGAATCTTTTAAGATACTCTTCTTAAGAATCGGATGAATATTGCCAAAGATATAGACTTCGCCGTGAGCCATATTGTGGCCCCAAGCTGTTTTGTGGATTTTTGAAAGGGACCCTCCAGAAAATTTGAGCAAAAATCTAAAAAATATAATGTTCTAAGATTTTGATACAGATTTATGGAGAATCGATCTACGAATCTTTTAAGATACTCCTCTTAAGAATCGGATGAATATTGCCAAAGATATAGGCTTCGCAGTGAGCCATATAGTGGCTCCAAGCTGTTTTGTGGATTTTCAAAGGGGACCCTACAGAAAGTTTGGAAAAAAATCGACAAAATTTTATGTTCGCGGATTTTGATGCAGATTTATGAAAAATTGATCTACAAATCGTTTAAGGTACCCGTCTTAGGAATCGGATGAATATTGCCAAAGATATAGGCTTCGCAGTGAGCCATATAGTGGCTCCAAGCTGTTTTGTGGATTTTCAAAGGGGACCCTACAGAAAGTTTGGAAAAAAATCGACAACATTTTATGTTTGTTGATTTTGATGCAGATTTATGAAGAATTGATCTACAAATCGTTTAAGGTACCCGTCGTAGGAATCGGATGAATATTGCCAAAGATATAGGCTTCGCAGTGAGCCATATAGTGGCTCCAAGCTGTTTTGTGGATTTTCAAAGGGGACCCTACAGAAAGTTTGGAAAAAAATCGACAAAATTTTATGTTCGCGGATTTTGATGCAGATTTATGAAAAATTGATCTACAAATCGTTTAAGGTACCCGTCTTAGGAATCGGATGAATATTGCCAAAGATATAGGCTTCGCAGTGAGCCATATAGTGGCTCCAAGCTGTTTTGTGGATTTTCAAAGGGGACCCTACAGAAAGTTTGGAAAAAAATCGACAAAATTTTATGTTCGCGGATTTTGATGCAGATTTATGAAAAATTGATCTACAAATCGTTTAAGGTACCCGTCTTAGGAATCGGATGAATATTGCCAAAGATATAGGCTTCGCAGTGAGCCATATAGTGGCTCCAAGCTGTTTTGTGGATTTTCAAAGGGGACCCTACAGAAAGTTTGGAAAAAAATCGACAACATTTTATGTTTGTTGATTTTGATGCAGATTTATGAAGAATTGATCTACAAATCGTTTAAGGTACCCGTCGTAGGAATCGGATGAATATTGCCAAAGATATAGGCTTCGCAGTGAGCCATATAGTGGCTCCAAGCTGTTTTGTGGATTTTCAAAGGGGACCCTACAGAAAGTTTGGAAAAAAATCGACAAAATTTTATGTTCGCGGATTTTGATGCAGATTTATGAAAAATTGATCTACAAATCGTTCAAGGTACCCGTCTTAGGAATCGGATGAATATTGCCAAAGATATAGGCTTCGCAGTGAGCCATATAGTGGCTCCAAGCTGTTTTGTGGATTTTCAAAGGGGACCCTACAGAAAGTTTGGAAAAAAATCGACAACATTTTATGTTTGTTGATTTTGATGCAGATTTATGAAGAATTGATCTACAAATCGTTTAAGGTACCCGTCGTAGGAATCGGATGAATATTGCCAAAGATATAGGCTTCGCAGTGAGCCATATAGTGGCTCCAAGCTGTTTTGTGGATTTTCAAAGGGGACCCTACAGAAAGTTTGGAAAAAAATCGACAAAATTTTATGTTCGCGGATTTTGATGCAGATTTATGAAAAATTGATCTACTAATCGTTTAAGGTACCCGTCTTAGGAATGAATATTGCCATGAATATTGCCAAAGATATAGGCTTCGCAGTGAGCCATATAGTGGCTCCAAGCTGTTTTGTGGATTTTCAAAGGGGACCCTACAGAAAGTTTGGAAAAAAATCGACAACATTTTATGTTTGTTGATTTTGATGCAGATTTATGAAGAATTGATCTACAAATCGTTTAAGGTACCCGTCGTAGGAATCGGATGAATATTGCCAAAGATATAGGCTTCGCAGTGAGCCATATAGTGGCTCCAAGCTGTTTTGTGGATTTTCAAAGGGGACCCTACAGAAAGTTTGGAAAAAAATCGACAAAATTTTATGTTCGCGGATTTTGATGCAGATTTATGAAAAATTGATCTACAAATCGTTTAAGGTACCCGTCTTAGGAATCGGATGAATATTGCCAAAGATATAGGCTTCGCAGTGAGCCATATAGTGGCTCCAAGCTGTTTTGTGGATTTTCAAAGGGGACCCTACAGAAAGTTTGGAAAAAAATCGACAAAATTTTATGTTCGCGGATTTTGATGCAGATTTATGAAAAATTGATCTACAAATCTTTTAAGATACTCTTCTTAAGAATCGGATGAATATTGCCAAAGATATAGACTTCGCCGTGAGCCATATTGTGGCCCCAAGCTGTTTTGTGGATTTTCAAAGGGGACCCTACAGAAAGTTTGGAAAAAAATCGACAAAATTTTATGTTCGCGGATTTTGATGCAGATTTATGAAAAATTGATCTACAAATCGTTTAAGGTACCCGTCTTAGGAATCGGATGAATATTGCCAAAGATATAGGCTTCGCAGTGAGCCATATAGTGGCTCCAAGCTGTTTTGTGGATTTTCAAAGGGGACCCTACAGAAAGTTTGGAAAAAAATCGACAACATTTTATGTTTGTTGATTTTGATGCAGATTTATGAAGAATTGATCTACAAATCGTTTAAGGTACCCGTCGTAGGAATCGGATGAATATTGCCAAAGATATAGGCTTCGCAGTGAGCCATATAGTGGCTCCAAGCTGTTTTGTGGATTTTCAAAGGGGACCCTACAGAAAGTTTGGAAAAAAATCGACAAAATTTTATGTTCGCGGATTTTGATGCAGATTTATGAAAAATTGATCTACTAATCGTTTAAGGTACCCGTCTTAGGAATGAATATTGCCATGAATATTGCCAAAGATATAGGCTTCGCAGTGAGCCATATAGTGGCTCCAAGCTGTTTTGTGGATTTTCAAAGGGGACCCTACAGAAAGTTTGGAAAAAAATCGACAACATTTTATATTCGCGGATTTTGATGCAGATTTATGAAGAATTGATCTACAAATCGTTTGAGGTACCCTACTTAGGAATCGGATAAAAGTTGCCAAAGATATAGGCTTCGCAGTGAGCCATATAGTGGCTCCAAGCTATTTGTGGATTTTCGAAGGGGACCCTACAGAAAATTTTTCAAAAAATCGACAAAATTTTATATTCGCGGATTTTTATGCAGATTTATGAAGAATTGATCTACAAATCGTTTAAGGTACCCTACTTAGGAATCGGATAAAAGTTGCCAAAGATATAGGCTTCGCAGTGAGCCATATAGTGGCTCCAAGCTATTTGTGGATTTTCGAAGGGGACCCTACAGAAAATTTTGCAAAAAATCGACAAAATTTTATTTTTGCGGATTTTTATGCAGATTTATGAAGAATTGATCTACAAATCGTTTAAGGTACCCTACTTAGGAATCGGATAAAAGTTGCCAAAGATATAGGCTTCGCAGTGAGCCATATAGTGGCTCCAAGCTGTTTTGTGGATTTTCAAAGGGGACCCTACAGAAAGTTTGGAAAAAAATCGACAAAATTTTATGTTCGCGGATTTTGATGCAGATTTATGAAAAATTGATCTACTAATCGTTTAAGGTACCCGTCTTAGGAATCGGATGAATATTGCCAAAGATATAGGCTTCGCAGTGAGCCATATAGTGGCTCCAAGCTGTTTTGTGGATTTTCAAAGGGGACCCTACAGAAAATTTTGCAAAAAATCGACAAAATTTTATTTTCGAAGATTTTTTTGCAGATTTATGAAGAATTGATCTACAAATCGTTTAAGGTACCCTACTTAGGAATCGGATAAAAGTTGCCAAAGATATAGGCTTCGCAGTGATCCATATAGTAGCTCCAAGCTGTTTTGTGGATTTTTGAAGGGAATCAAGAATATATATTCCTTATGGGGTTCGGAAATGTTTTTCTCTATGTTACATACATTCACAGGAATACAATACACCCAGATCTGAACCTGAAAACTCTCATGGAGAACTTTTTCAAATTCCGACTCTTTTGGTTGGACTAAAATGTAAAAAATTGGGGGGAAAAAAACCGCAGCAAGCCGATTCGAAGGCAAAGGGCTTTTGGGTTAAAAGAAATTGTGGGTCATCTGGAGTGTTTGAAGATGTTCTGCTCGGATAGCTGCGAGCTCGGCTGCAAGGTCCCTTCTGGGGCCAATGGGATCGCATGCGGGAACGGCCCACAGGGTGCAGCTGGTGGCCCACAGGCATCACAACAACAGCAAATCAACATGTGCTATGCTCCATTGCCGATGCAGTCCAACACTGAAATGTGCGCTAGGTGTGAGCAGGCGGAGCCTCCTAGAGTGGGCCTGTGCTTGGTTACCGAAGGCCCCGAGGGTTTGAGGTAGGTTCCAACTAAATTAATGCATTTGCTATTATTTACCTCAATTCATAATAAATGAAGATAGTAGAGTAACTTGCATAAAGTTCGATTTCGTTTATTCTTGATGAGAATTAAAATGTGACCACCTTGTTTAAAATTGTATCTCTGTACCGATTCCTTGTTTACAATCTTCATATCTTATATATTCCTTTTAAGCATTGATTGCAACGTACCCTTGCCCAATTCTTTCAACCTGGACGAGTACAAGAAGCAGATGGTCTACTCCTGCTGCCAACCCACCAATATGAGTCCATACTGCGATACCTACGGCTTCCCGCAAGCAGCGATTTCTGGAACGTTTGCTGGCATGGCTCCGATTCAGAGTCTTAATCCAATTTCGAGCCCAAATACTATTACATCGCCGGGATGCAGTTTCCATTGCCAGAGCTGTCCACTGGGAGGACCATGTCCAGGCTATGATTCTTTACCGATGCATTCTCATCCGTCACAAGGGGCTGTGCCTTTGCCAAAGTCGGCAGGGATCCCGCGACATGAGCAGGCCATGACTCCGGCTCCGGCCATGATGCCGCAAATCTTCTGCCTGCCTGCTCCCAACAACAGTAATGCCAACACAACCTCATGCCTGGCCTCTATGGAAGCCTCCAACGGTCTCCAACAGTCGGACCAACAGCCAATGTACTTTTGTGGCATGGTGCCGGCACAGGCTTGGAATCTTCAAGCTATTAATCTGGTTCCTGTAATGCCAGTGCCGCAACAGCAGCAGCCGCTCATAACGAATCCTGGACAGGATTTGCAGCAGCAGCAGCAGGCGCCCCAATTGCTACGCCTGCCCTGTGACCTGTCCTTTTCCCGCCTCCTCACCGAGTTGCGGCGGGAGAGGGACAGGTCCTGCTGCGACTCCTGCGCTACGTCGTCATCCCAGCCCCTGGCCCTCCAGCTGTTTGCCCCGACGCATACGGTGACCTTTTGTGATCCACCAGCGACCACAATGTGTGCTGCTAGTCCGACGAAAAGAGAAGCCTCGACCTCTGCAACACCAGTACCCCCACCAACTGATCCACCAGCCCCCAGGTCACCACCACCAACTGCTCCTCCGGCAGCAACATCTTCGACCATGCCACCTGAATCAACCACTGCCCCCGCCGCTGCCGCTCCGTCCAGAGCTCGTTCGGTTAGTCCCAAACGCAGCAGATCCTGCCTGCGAAACAAGGATCTTTGGGGGGGCAGTGGTACCGCACAGAGCCACCCCGACTATCCATCTTCAGCCCAGAACCACCCCGCCTATCCATCTTCCGCCCAGCACGGAGCTGGCAATGTGTGCATGAAGTGCGGCAATTGTTGGCACTGCCCGCGTTGCAATTGCCCCAGTTGCTCCTGGCATCCCGGCTTGCTGCGTCCACCTTCTAGGGAAAGCAGATACAGACAGTTCCCCGATAGATGAATAAATATTATTTTACCCCAAAGAATTCAAATACCATTTAAATTAAAAGCAATATGTATTAATTTATTTATATTTTCCGTTTTATTCCATTTCAATAACACCTAAATATTCAGTTTTTGAGTAAGAATCACAGTAATTTTGATACATGTATTATATTTGTTCTCTAAAAAAAAAAAAAAAAAAATATAAACCAATATACGTACATATTTAGGTTTAATATTGTTTTTATTATTAGTTTTTAATAATATTTAACTAAGTATCTACTCCTGTAATTAATATTGTTAATACGTTTAAAGCAGCATATTAGATACATAGATATCCTTGAAAGTTTTTTTTCCAATCTTAATATCTAAAATCACAAGCAATAACCACTAATGTCCATTAGTGTCCTGTGTCTTAGAGCGCATATTCTTGTTTAAATAGTTCGAGACGTAATTTTCCATCACAGTTGTTATACTTTCGTTCCTCTGTTCGGGAACTGAAGCTGCCGAATGTTGTGCAGTGTCTCCTTGGACAGGATTAGTCGGTGCCTCGGATTGTACGCTTGGAACGGTGTACGGAGCAACCGTTGGACGTTTTTCGGTATTTTTCCGACGAGGTTGACGAGGTTTCTTAGGTGGTTCCTTGGGAGTCTCGTCCGGGGACTTCTGGCTGGTTGGACAATAAGGCGGTGGTGGTATCCATAAACGGCTTCGCAATTCAATTACGGGACCCGGGGCATGGGGCTCCGCCGGATTGACTGGTACTTGTTGATAGTTTATGGGCTCCTGGAAGGTGGAGGGGTACATATAAGCTGGGGGTTGGAACAAAAACCTATGTTGCTGAAGTTGCTGTGGTTGCTGAAGTAGCTGGTGTTCCTGACGTTGCGGGTGTTGCTGCTGATGTTGCTGTTGTACTTGAGCTGGCTGAGATGTCAGAGTGTGCAATCGTTGCAAATTTTCAGCAGCAGTTGGCTGCTGTTGCTTTGGTTGCATAAGAAATTGTTGAAAACATTCCCGATGTTGTTGATGCTGCTGCTGTTGTTGATGCTGCTGATGTTGTTGCTGCTGTTGTTGCTGATGCTGCTGCATTTGTTGATGCTGTTGCTGTTGTTGATGCTGCTGATGTTGCTGATGCTGCTGCAGTTGTTGATGCTGCTGCAGCTGCTGATACTGCTGTTGCTGCTGCTGCTGCTGTAGCCGACGCATTTCTACTTGCTGACGATGTTGCCAGGACCACGCCAACATATGTTCCTCCTGCTGGCGTTGCTTATCTGCTATACGCTGTTCCAAAATCCTGAGATCAGCTCTTATCTGCCGCTGCACTTGCTCTTTCTTTGTCTTCAGTTTTTCCTCCATCTTTTTGCTTTTCTCCATTTTTTCCAGATATAGACGCTTCTCTTCCGCGTGTTTTAGTTCATAGGCAAGCCTTTCCTCAAGGACATGTGTCAAAGACTGTCCTATCTGGATTAGCTCATTATTTTCCCGGCACTCCAGGCGTTGATATAAAACTTTCAGTTCCTGCAACTGAATATCGTTTTGTTGCGGGTTGTATATAATTTCCAGTTTTTGTTGGGGAGTAGGATGTTGCTGGGCGATATATTGTGGCTGCTGCTGCGGATGTTGTTGTGGTGCCTGTTGCTGTTGTGTCTGAATGTGTGGCTTGGGTGCAACGCTGGGACAGTTCCATTGTTGGGATACATTTTGAGTGGGTATAGCTGGGGTCTCCACATAATGAGGAGTCGCAACATTTTGATTTATACGTTCGATGGCATTATTGTTGATACTACTGGGTTGGCGTATGTCTTGTTTAAATGTTCTCGGACGCACAATGTGATGCATTAAGTGCTGGCGAAGTGTGGACAGTCCTGAAGATGTATTTATACTTGTGGTGGGAAGCTCAGCAACGTGGTTCTGAGCGTTCATATTTGGTTGATTTGATTGGGAAAAGTTTATGGCCTCGGGCTCTGGTTGAATATGTGTCATTTGCTGGTCCTGGGCTGTTGGAATTTTATGAGTTATCTGAAGGTTGTGTGGTAGCTCCAGATCTGGAACTGTTTGAACGTTTTGCACGGGTAGGATTGGGTCTGGCATTTGTAAATCCTGAGGTTCCTGTTGCTCCTCAAAAATGTTTTGTTGTTGATAATTGTGTTCGCTTTGTACTTGAGTACCTGGTAATTCTTGTATAAATTCATCTGGCCCTGCCACCTCATTATAATTCAGTCCTTCAGTTTTTGCATTATTTATGAATTCATTTTCCAATGGCGATTGACTCGGATATTCTTCCAATACTTCCATTTTGACATTGAACTGTGGTTGATGCCAATTTAAATAAGGATAATGCAGGCCTTTTGAAAAGTTAGACTTTATCACACTCTGCCGCTGACTTTGTAGAAGTTTTATATTCGGATCCTCTAAGGAATCTTCATCCTCAGCCTCTTTCTTGACCAAATCAAACAAAGTTACGCTATCCTCGTTTTCTGGTAATTGGGTCTTCACAGTTACAGTTTCCGTTTCTAAATCGGGCATACTCAATGGCAAATCCGGGCTACTTGGGTTTGTATCATACATAAACTCTTCCTGTTTTATTTCAACCGAATTAATGTCCTCCATAGCTAATGGTGTATCCTGTTGGTTTTCGGATGGTGGCTGTTCGCTAGCAGATTGCTCTTTTTTCATTTTTTCAACCACATAGCGGACACGACTAGAATCGAATGGAAACTTCAGCATTCTCAGGTGACACTCTTTTTTCTTCGCTATAGTATTACTTAGTTTTCTGGTTCGGAACTGAAGTTCACTTCGGGCTAGTTGCTTAGGTATAAAAAGACTTTGCTCCGAAAAGACACTAGCTCGGCGTTTCTTGGTTTCAGCTCTGAAAAAGGGTTTATTATAAATATGAAATTAAAATTTAAGCTATAAACTTACATGGATAGCGAATGTCTTTCCTCCAAAACAAGAGGCCTTGTAGCTTCGTCCTTCTTAGGACTTTGTGCTGCGTTACTTTCGTTGGGACTTTTAGCGCTGTCCTGATTGTCTGTTGACTTATTTTTAATTTCTGTAGATTTCACTATTTTTTGTGTAAAGCCGTCAGCTTGAGCACTTGGAAAACATTTTTGTTTTCTAAAATCAAATTAAAATCCTTTCAGTTAAAATTAAATTTATGCTTACCGGTTAATAAAAGGATGTTCACTCATCGGTTGGGATCCGGAATCTGATTGAAGCTCTGTCTCCGATACGGACCCAATCATGTCTCTCTGCGATCTGCCTCCAGACAGTCACCGAGTGCGTATTATATAATAAAATTGTTGCTGGGAAAAAGTAATGGTTGGGAGGATCTCAATATACAATAAACAATAACTTGTGTAGAATGACGGCGTCTAATAGCTGAGCTATAAATAAACTACAAAAAATGGGAATGAAATCTAATATGATTTCCACGAGTTGATGGAGAACTGAACGGTATGTTTATCCTTTGCTTTATTAGCCTCTTACTTCTTGGATCCAATAGCCTGAAAGTAATCCTAATCATATGATATCACAGACGGGCGTCAATTTGTTTGTAAACACACTTTGGAACTTCTCCAATTGAGAAGTTTGTTCTGAAAGAAGAATCCCTCCTCCAACCTTTTCCTTTGCACAGGTTCGCGACAGTTTATTTTTTTAAGCTAAGTTTCGGATCGCTGCAGCGAAAACCGATTACGGATTATAAACATACATTTATAGCACTGAGACGCGTCCAGTCGCACATCCGAAAAGGGAATGAATACAAATGAAATTTGCTAATAATAAAAGAATTACATGGCCCGGCTGAGCGATAACAGCGCCAGACCCACTAGCTTCTGTCCCGGCAATTATGGGTCATTGAAGGGCCAAAAGACCACTGGCCGAGTAGATAGCACCGGATAGATATAAGCTCTGACCACCGAACACCCCCCACAGACGGCGTGCCGCATAACCTGGGTCAACCTGGACGCACTAAGGACACGTCAGCGTCGCCATGTGACGTGGCCGCCTACAATTCATTCAATGTATAATTGGAATCGTAACTTTATTTTTATACGCCGTCGGGCAACCAGATTAAAATTGCATTGTTTGGGAAATAATAGCTAACTATTTTCTTTTTAAATATTATTTAATTCTTTGTTTAAATTTAATCAGAATTTTTACAGATTAAAATTAATTCAGATACTTATTGATGTAAATAATTTTTTCACTCAAACAACAAACATTAATTTTATTTAAATTTTTAACCTAATTTGATTTGATTATTTCAAGAATTTTAACAAGTTTAAAATTTCAAAGCTTGGGAAATAATATTTACCTTTTTTTTTTAAATTGTATTTATATTTCATTCAAATTGTAAATATATTTTCTTCAAATTCAAAGTAAAACATTTTTTTTAAAACTCTCTAAACTCAACACGATGGTTCTTGCTTGAAATTCAGATACTTATTGAAGTATGTAAATAAGTTTTTAACTCAAAAACGTAAAAACATTTATTTTATTAAAATTGCAAACCTCATTTGATTTGATTACTTCAAAATACTTTACTTTGAAAATAAGCAATATATATAACAGAAAATATAATATTCTCTCTTTTCTACCATTTAAAAATTATATTTAAATAAGACCGCCCTTATTTTTAATATCGAAATAAATTATCGATTGCCGAAATCGGTGTATCGATACTTGAAACTTAGTATATTTTACCATCTCGAAAAGCAGCAGAAAACAACAAACGAGCATATAGAAACTAAATAACAAAATTTACTACAAAAATGGATAAATTGACCACAATTAGTGCCACTCTATTCATGGCTGCCGACGTGTTTGCTATTGTAAGCCTAGCACTACCAGATTGGATCATCACAGAGTCGGGAACAGGTACGTACAAGAAATACGGAAGTGCACGTCCCAATAAGCAGTCTGAAATCTTTACTTAATTTATTCATTGCTTGCAGGAGATATACGGCTTGGACTCATGTGGACCTGCATGACACTGTACAATCGGCCACAGGTCTGCTATACGCCAGATCTGCAACCGGAGTGGTTCATTGCCCTTGTCTGCATCTTCACCGGGTGCATTTGCGTGACCACCACAGTTATACTGCTGGCCTCGTCTTCCTGCAATCGCAACGTAATTCCGTACGCCCGCTGGGTGGGCTTCACGGCAATGGTGCTATTCTGCATGGCAGCAGTTGTCTTTCCACTAGGCTTTCACGTGGAGGAGATCGGCGGCCAGGCCTACCAACTACCTAACACCTTTAAGATTGGAATTTCCTACATAATGTTCGTTTTAGCCCTGTGGATCACGGTGGTCTCGGAACTGTTCGCCGGCAAGGTGTGCCTGCCCCATTTCTAGAGACGCGCCAGCATTGGACACTTTTTGATTTTGTTTGCCGTTTGCTCTGTGATTTGTTATACCTTCTGTTTCTCTCTCATCTTTCTCATACTCAACACCAGCAATCTCCCTAATTTTTAAGTGTATTTTAGTTTATTAGGTTTTTTAGTCGAATATTTGTATATACATTAATCCATGGACTTTGTTTAAATAGAAATATTGTCATAATTTTTTCAAGAATTCAAGAATTTAAAGTTTTTTGTGAAAAAAAAACTTGTTTCAGTACAAACTTACAATTATAAATGAACGTATTAAAAATTTATTCACTTTTTGTAATTTTTTTCTTAATTCACTTTAGTTAGTGTAGGTCAATTATTAGCACACAAAAAAAAAAAGAAAAACAATTTTTGTAAACGCTTGTAATCAGTATATTAAAATATAACCGGTCTTGTATTGAAAGCCCGAAATTGTGGGAGCTTATACATACTTCCTCTGGAAGGTCGCGACGGCAACTGCAATGGAAATCACTGTCTGGGTACTAGGTGCCTTCTTGATGTTTATGTATTCATGATCCCATCGCGATCCGAGAATGCTGACCAAGCTCCTTTGCCGCACAAATTCTAACAACTCTTGCTGACCCCAGCAGCTATTCTCCCCTTACAGAAAACTCTGTAAAACGAGAGGCGAAGAAAATTCTTTCCCATTCGATCGTCTTATAAACAAAATCCCCCTTTCAATAAGAATCAAAACTTCCGACACTATCAATAAACATAAGTAAACCGCAGGATGTTTTTTCAACGCACTTGGTTTGGAGGTTTCTTATTTCATGGTGCAGAGTAGTATCCAAATAGTGCATGGTATGAAAAACTAATGACTGAATATTTGAAAAATGTTTATAATAGTATAGATGGTGTAAATGAAATGTAATAAATAACACCCCAAAACTTCCCCTTCTCCATGTAGAAAATAAAAAACTTTATTTCGAATACAGCATAATATTTTATTTATCATTTCTTTATATATTCTTTAAATTGTTTGATAATATCAATTATTGTTGAATGAATCTACTTTGGGGTGCACTTGCAATATTATTGTATTCCAGCTTAGATAGATATTTCCAAATCGGTGTGAAAATGTTGATAGTTTGATTGAAATCCATTTGCTGATCGGAGCGGGTCCGTCGGAGGTACAGTGTAATATTATATATTGGGATATGCTAGGTACACAAGATGCTGTTTTTGAGCTTTAATTTGTCTTAAAAGTAGGTTCGCTTTGGTTTTTTTTCTTGTATCTTATACAGTTATATACATACATATATCAAAATATGATGTCGCGATAGTTTAGTAACAGTAAAAAACATTTGAGTAAAAAAATATATATAGAGTTTTAATTGATTCTTTTCACAGAATTTAACTAGTGTGGCTTGAAAAATGTTCATTTTTCATATAGGTATGTGCTCCATTGTCAGAGAGTATAATAAAACAGAAACATAGGATTAGAGCCTTGAATAAAACTTAAACAGAGCAGTTAGATGCGTTTTTTTGGTAATATCCTTTCATGTTGATTATTATTATTTTTTTGGCTAGGGTGGGCTAATTTCTTTGTCTTACATAATTTTAATTCGAATCGTATATAATATTCGCTGTTTAAGTGATGGCTAGGCATAAGAATTAGCTAACAAACCTTTACAAAATAGTCAATAACATTAAATTCTACTAACTAACTAAAAACAAATATTTGCTAACAAATACTTAACGTATGCGTGTTGGTGTGATGAGCAAAAAACTTTAAATGCTTGCAAATTCATTAAAACTAAATGAAAAGCTCAAAATAAATAAGAAGATGCCTTGATCTAAGCTACGCTACATGATTCATAAATATCCATTAAACATTATCAACAGCGAGTGGATGATTTTACAATTTTCCATCAAATGGTGTCTTTACAAAGTAGGTGACTAGATTGCCCTTGCCCTTTACATAGGTCAGGCCACGGCATTCGCACTCGTATCCGGCGGCCATCAATATTTTTGCAGTGTTTTCCGTTGTCTGTAAGGATTCAGAATTCTTAGAAGCTCTTAGAAGTGCAGGACCTTAACACTTGGTCACTCACCTGTAAGCGTCCCATTACGCCGCAGGAGTCCATGCGGGAGGCCACATTAACTGTGTTACTCCAAATATCGTATTGGGGCTTCTGGGCGCCAATCACTCCGGCAATCACCGGACCATGATTGAGTCCGATTCGGAGACGGAAGCGTTGGAACGACTCCCGATTAATCGAATCCAATATGGACATCAAAGCAATCGCAAACTCGACCAATATGACCACGTTGTGCTCCTCCGTTCGCTTCTCATCCTTTTTGGGGTAAAAAAGCGAAATAAAAAGAATTGCGTTAGTACCGATTCGATTTAGTCCTTGCCGCCCTAGAACCTGAACAGTGCGTCGAATTTGGCCCGCCCTCCGGCTAATCCCGAGTATTTCGTTTCCCTGCCACACTGATTTGACCCTCATTTGGCGACCCTTTTTTTATTGCTCTCCCTTTGTTTGGGCCAATGTGATTTGATTTCCTCTTTTGCCCCGTTTGCTAGTTGTAAAAATTTAATTAAACTGCTAAGCGGCGATTAAAAGGCATTCGGAGAGTAAATAACATTGGCCCTATTTGGAATCAGTGTTCAGTGTGGCATGTGAATGGAAAAAAGGGAAAAAGAATGGAATTTTCGCAACATTCCCATTTATTCTGCGCTCGAATTAGTAGCAGGATATAGGGGCAGATAATGTTGGCCAATTTATCAGGTTGGATATTTAAAGTAGAAATTGTAACACAGAAATTCCAGAAGGACTTACCGCAAAACTACGTGACTAGATTGAGCAAACCAGTCAGGATTTGTCAATGTTGTTATTTACAGGATTAGTGAAAGCATTGAAGAAACATGGATTAGACGAGATAGTAACAGAGGCCAGAGAATGGGATATTCCGGGAGAAGTACTACTTACCGTGGCGCCATCCTCCTTGCCGGGTCTCAGACCAGAAGCGCACATATAGGTGCTGGCTATGGTCTTAATCTTTTCGATTCCGCTGAACTTTGGCTTCAGGAGTAACTGAAAGTATAAGTGCACAATTCGAGTATATTAAGGATGCCATTGCTTGTCGAAATAAAATAACAGAGCTTAAAATGCAATATGTTCGAGAGGATGACAGCTTCTCGTGTCCGTACCTTATCGAAATCGCAAATAATTTCATTTAAGAGACGCAAACACTCCAGGCCCTGCTTGTTGACATCCGTCTCATCGTAGAACTCCTTGTAGTTGGGAATGGAGGCGAACATGACCGCCACGCAGGAGTAGCTCTCGTGGTAGAGCTCCGTGGAGCGTTCCAGGTGCAGGAAGTGCGTGGCCACGTGGGCGGGCAGGATGTTCTCCAGCAGAATCTGAAAATCAAATAAAATTTTCAATTAACATCGAACTGCACTCGTATGGAGATGAGGTACTTGCCTTGTTGATGCCACGCATCGTTTCCACCTCCTCCTGTTCGACCTTGAGCTTGGCCTTCCACAGAAAGTCCGTGCGGGCCACATACTCGCCCTGACGGTCCAGGGTGTGCAGCACCAGAATGATGACCAGGAGCAGCAGGAAGCCCTTGATCTCCAGGGGTAAGCTATGCAAGGGATTAGAGGATAGTTTCTCCAGAATCCCAATTTTATGTATTATATTATCCTTACCCATTTTCGATGAATCTCCTATTGTACTGTGTATAAAGATCGCTATAACCGAGTACTGTGACCTGGCCTATCAAAGCCACCAACATGGCTATCAGTTTAAGGATAAACCCAGATCGCAGAAAGGCTGAAATGGCCGCCAAACTTATGGCACAACAATACAGAAACACCGGTGCAATGGGTAGAGCAGGATTGACTTCCAGAGGCCTAAAGTCCTCCAAGAAAGTAGCATTGATAGAGTCATTCGATGAATTCCTGACCATGGAAGTGTCATTAGAAAGTTCATTGGGAACATCGCCCGGAATCGCCGAGTAGTTGATCTGAATAATAAACTCATTTAACTAAAATACGAATCAGAAAGCCCTTTCAAACTTACCACACTAAATACCGCACAGGACGAGATGAGGATGTTGACCACAATGAACATGGCTAGTCTCAAGTAGCGACTACTGGCCACCACCTGACCCGGACCATTACGGTCCGTGGCTGAGGTGTGCACATCCGGCACGGACACATTGCTCAGGTAAAGGAACAGGGCCAAGGACACGAAGCTGGCCAGAAGCGAGCCAAGCAGAACCAAGTTCCTGAAATTGCAAAAAGGCCAAGGGCGTGAGAAATGGGGCTCGTTAATGTGAGTTGATCTCACCTACAATTCGATTACAATCAACTGGACGATGGCCAGCGAGAGGAAGAGGATGAAGGCGCAAATCAGGTCGAACCGGAAGTGGGTATCGGGCTGGGCCCGGTACATGGCCTCCCGGGGCGTGTTGCGGTACCACATGGTGAAAGGTTTCAGCTCCGTAGGCGGCCCGAAGAAATTAAAATTGAAACATTTACGCTCCGGTGGCAGTAAATTTGATTCAATCATGGCAATACTCTGCAATCAACAAGGGAGAAGGAACCATGAAATGATAGGAGTCAAGATGGATTTTTTCTTATTTATTAAAGCATAAATATATATTTTTTTTGGTAGGTAAAGAGTTTATTTTATTTAAAGCTACAATAAAACTAAAGTATGTCTAGCAGAGCTATAGTGAGTCTTAAGACACAAAACATATCATTCCTTCAAAAATAAATAAAAATGCTTAAGTCCCATTCAACCAGTTTCTTTAAACATGAAGAGCTTGTATAAAAATGTACCAAAAACAAAGGATGACTAGGATAACATGTCCACTTTGCATTTTATACACAAATATAAGAAGCTTTGCTTGAAAAAAATATCTGCTGGTTGGCAGTTTTTACCCAGGCAAGGAAGCTTTTGGTTTTATCCAATTTTATGATACATTTTGGCAATTGAAATTTAATTTTCCTTTTTGTAGAAGGTGGAAGGAATCCATTTAAATTTTTAACTTACCGCCAGTCCAATGTTCTTCACCAGTTTCGATTCCGCAATATTGGCAAAGGGTCGGTCGGCACCCCAGCACTCGACATATTTGGTCA